TCAACAAGAGCACCTCTAGAATCAAGAAGATACTGTTCAGAGAGAGGCCCACCTAACCCAGCTGGTTCTTCCCGGTTGAGTTCCTAAAGTCAAAGGACATCAATTGCATTCAAAAGACCATACAGAAAAGATTAGAGGAAAGCTAATAAATAAGGCCAACAAGAAAGGGCAAATTCTCATCCTAAAATCAATAGCATAGGTTTCCACTGAAGCAAAAACTAGATAAAACTCAGGAACTGCAATAAAATTCAATTATATCAATGCATCTTTAGAAATTACTGATGTTCTCAAAAACCCAATGTCATAACATAAAACCTGATACTACTTATTACTACTTCACAAACAAATCAATATGCAACAAGAAATTGAATGTAAAGGTTGGATGCAAGTTCAATTCTACTCCTGAAACTAGAAATCAAGCTGATATATTCGACAACAAGGCTACTAATACTAAATAATATTAACTTCAACAATAAGGCTATTCCATTCAGAACAAGGTTAGATTAAAGTAATTAAATGAACGAGGTGGTAACACTGAATGTTTCTCTACAACTTGTTCACAAAGAACTCCACTTAGGAGACATTCCAATAAAATGTATGTTGTGCATTACCATTTAAATGCTCACAGAAAAAGGTATGTTCTGTTTCAGGTTAGAAAGGAGATCAGTCCATCAAATCAACTTCATGCTTATCTCCATCAATGGGCATGCTCTATGTATTTTCTCCGCTCTATCACAAGTATTTAACAAGTAGGGTTTACCAGTAAAAGTGAAGGAAAAGAACACACATATTACAGATTTGCTTTTAAGCTATATAATTCTCAAATAAACCATGCATTTGATGGGCATAGATATTTGCTCAATTCTTCCATCTTATCAAGAAATATTGTAACTCAAATAAAGACAATCACAAAATCCAGAAATAATGGTCAGATCAAAAGTTGAACCACTTAGAACAATAATGATGGTTAGTGGAATCTAAACACTAGCAATCTAATGAGTCCTCAATTCTCTCACAAGCAAAATTTAACAATCAAGAAGAGTTTCAATGTACAAATGACACACAGAAGAATAAATGACACACAGAAGAATAAGGATTTATGCAAAATGACAGACCCATTCTTAGAAGGCATAAAATGAAAGTATACATTTTAAATGTTTCACACCTTTATTAGAGAAATCAATCGCTGTCTAAGTCCAGTATTAATAAGATCTTCCAGATACTTCTGAATATCAGCCACAAGATCGGCTTCAAGTCCCTGATCAAGCACAACAGCCTAAAAAAAAGCAATTAATAGTTCTTAGAACCAAAAAAATGAAAAACCAAAGTTGCAACCAAATGATGCATGATGCTGAATGAGCATTACAGAGGGAATTACCCTCAAAAGCGTATATAGAGCCATTATTAGATCTCGCCTCTCAGTATACCAAAGTCCTGCTGCAAGGCGTAAAATCTCCAGTGGTCCTCGTCCCATTAAACCCCACTGGAAAAAATTTTCATAAGAAAACATAAATACACGAACAAAATTGTTTGTGTACAAATATGAAGCAAACAGAGATATTCAGAATTGACACAAACAAAAGGACAGAGATTTACCTCTTGGTTGGCAGAAACAAGCAAATTAACGCAATCTATTTCATTTAGATGGAGGTCGTCACTCAATTTCAATGCCTATATCCAAGTATCAAACGAATAAGAACATAGACAACCAAAAGGAAGCAAATCAAACAAGTTCGAACTACAGTCATTACGTAACACCAACGAAGACAATAACATTAAAAATGATAAAGAGAAAATAGCACAATCAACTTAGTTCTAACAATGGCCTAAAATTAGGGCAAATTTTTTTCGTAGCGGAGCAATATAGGAAAACTGAACCGAATGGGGCCATATCAAGGTTGATAAACAGAATCAAGAATACTTAAGTCAATTTCTAATAAACTGTCAATAAGAAGTTAAAATCAATATCTCACTCTCTTCAAAAAAAAAGAAAAAAAGTAGTCAAAACATTTGCAAAAAAAAAAAAAAAAGGCACTGTTAAAACGAAACTCACAATTTGAACATCTTGGTCGTCAAGCGAAATTGGAGGAGAATCCGGAAGTCTAACTTCTTTGGACTGTAGCTGCGCCCGATCTGAGGGTTTTGGGGGCTAAAAAACCGCAAATTTAAAAAAAAAAAATCAATGAACAATAGTACTAGTAACAAAAAAAAGTTTTACACAAATTGTTGAAGATGTGAAGAAGGGAGAAGACAATACCAGATAGGAGAGGAGAGATTGGAGAGAGGAAAGGGAGCTACGAATAGCGTGAAGGAGTTCAACTCGCCGCGCCGGCGACGGAGGAGAAGTACCGAGGAGGGAGGATTCGATGGTGGAGAGCAGTTGCTTCGGCGACACCATTTTTCTAGGAGATCTTGGAAATTGATAGAAGAGAAAGAAGGGGAGGAAACAAAGAAGAAAAAAAAAAAAAACAGAGCGGGAAACGGATATGGGAAACTGGAAAAAAGAAGAGTGATACAGAAGACGAGGAGGGAGTGTACAAAACCCTGGAAGCCCTAAAATTTGATATCTAATCCAACGGATCAATTTTTAATTAAGTCGGTTTAATCAAAAAGAGCGAGAAATAAACACCGAATGGCGTTGAAACGACGCGTCGTTTTATTTTTCCTCTTTCTTTTTGTTGGGTGCATCGTTGTTTTATTTTTCCCTCTTAAAACATTATCATAATCATTTACCGACGCTTCACGCTTATGGCTAGATTATTGATCAGTCAATTTTTTTTTTCAATTTTGATATTTAACAAATAAATAAATAAACTTAGTGTAATTCAATGGATTATTTTAAATTTAATTAATTTTTCAATTTTTTTTTCCATTTTCATGTATAGATACACTTACCATACACACTTTTATATCCTGAGCATTAATTTATGATATTTTATTTAATTTTAATTTTTTAATAAATTTGTTATGTTTATAACATCCTTCACTAATGCGTCAAATTAATTGTTCAACTTTTATATCATGTTGTTTTTCAGACATCAAATTAATGAAAGTTTTTTACATTTTCACTTTAGCCTTTAGTAATTTGTAAAACTATAAAGATGATTATATTATTTTGCATTTTTATATCTAATTTTTCTATTGATAATTTCATTTTTATTCTAATTAATAAAAATATTTTTTATTTTATTTTTTTACTTAAGAACTTGGATTTTTAATTTAATAAAGTTATTGACTTTATTTTTTATTTATGACAAATAAAAATAATAATCTTAAATAGTTTTTACCATTTTACCACATTTCAATTCTAAGTTTGTTAAACGTTATTTTATATTTTTTTCACAATATTTTTAAAACAACTCTATTCCAAACAATATTTTTTGTACGAACTACAATTAAATCAAGTAGAACCTAAGTAATTATTTAGTTTGTAAAATAATTAATTTACGTTTTAATCAATGCAAAAAGGGCCATTTTTTTTTTTTTTTACATAAAGAGTCAAGGTCTAAAGGAAATTGAGGAAGGATAATTTGTAAATATTAAAGATTGAATTTCAATTTTTTTGAAAATTACTACTTGAAAAATGAGTTATTCTATTTGCATCCCCAATTTTATTCTTTACACTTTTTTTAATTATTTTTAAGTAAAATTACTTAATTATTATTTTTATTTTAGTTTTAAAAATTTATAATTATGCATGTCTGATAAATTTTTAACTTATTAGATATCCACATTGATAAGTAACAAAATTTATCAAAATTTCATATTTGATAAATTTTAAAAAATTTACTTTTATGACTTAAGATTTTTAACAAAATTCATCTAATCAATATCATCAAGATCTAACATATATATATATATATATATTGGGATTCCACCAAAACCCATAAATTCAAATGAGAAAAAAAAATCATATCTTAAAAAATTTTCACAATATTACACAGAAAAAACATGACTTGTTTCTAATTATTATAAGTTCATTTGCAAATTGAGAGTAAATAAATATAACTTTAATAGAAAGAGTACCAAATTATAGCATGTAGATCTTTGGATTTCTTCTTAATTTCAAATGATCTGAGACAAAAACTTTTAAAAGTTTTTTAAATTGTAAATTTGAAAACTTTAAAAGTTTTTGGATTTAATTTTAAAAATTTCTAAATTTGTAAAGTCAACGACTTAAAAATTGAAAGAAGTTTATTTTTGGATAATTAAATATTTTACTTAAGAATCATTTTGAAAAAAATAAATAGAAACTCCAGACAAAAAAGGTTCAAACTTTTTTTTAGCAAACATTTGAATGTTAGATTATGTGGTTTATGGACAAGGAAAGACTTACATGTAAATTTTTAGATTAAATTTGTGAAATTATTTATTAAAAATTATTAAAAAATTAAAATCGATAAGTTAAAATATTTTGTTATATAAAATAAATGTACAAATTTTAAAAAAAATTTAATAAATTTTGATATATTTATTAAATAGATATTTTTAGTGAAATTTTTGATAAAATTTTTATTATTGAATAATTATTGATTAAATTTAAAATTATTAACCATATTTTTAATAAATTTTTAGAGATTATTAAAATTTATATTTAATCCTATTAATTTATCTATTTAAATTTTAAAAAAATTCACCAAAACAACTTCTTTTAAATTTTATCGTTTTAAACGAAAACAAGTCAGCTAACAAAGGACCATAAATTTGATTGGAGTCAACAAGACACAACAGGCTACAAGTGCAACTCTTACTAGTTTGATCCGATAAGGTGTTAGACTGTAAATTTTAAAATCAAATATCAATTCTGCACAATTTAAAATGCAAAAAAAAAAAAAAAAAAAAAAACCGCAACACTTACCATTTGGATTTGTTAACTGGATCTGATTCTGTGGTAGGGTTATAACATACGTGCGTGTGACACGTTTGGCATTCGGACGGCACCGCCTTCTAATTTGTCACATCTCACATAAGAATCTTTAATTTCTTGGGAACGTTTCGATTCCTGTTTTGGCTCTTCCATGTTTCTTCTCCGTTATGTTTTGCCGCTGACAGATGCTGTTGTTCTTATTTAAACAATAGCAGTAGGTCAGCTATCAGCTGCTTAGCAGTTAGTCCCACTGTTCGATTTATTGAGCACGATAGGAAAAGCCCTAGCAATAGCATGGATGTTATCAACAGGTACGTTACAATCAAGTCCCACGTGGATGGTGCACCACAAGAGTCTGATTTCGAGCTCAAGGCTACACCTCTTGCTCTGTCCCTGGACCCTGGGTCCAATGAAGTTATTGTGAAAAATCTCTACGTTTCAATTGATCCTTACCAGATAAACCGCATGAAAAGCTACAGCTCATCACAGAAGAATTCCGATTTTGCAGTTGGCATTATTCCTGGTGAGGTAATTAATCAACATTTTACCTCAGCAAAAGGAATATGTGTAAATCTCAGCGGAGGAGTTTAAAGATCTGAGACTCTTAAAACCCTTTTTATTTTTGACAGGCTATTGATACTTACGGTGTGGGCAAAGTTGTGGCTTCTGGGAACCCTGAATTTGATAAGGGTGACATTGTTGCCGGGCTTCTCAACTGGGGAGAGTACACCGTGATCAAAGCCAGTGGCATGTTAAACAAGCTGAACCACATGGGGTTTCCGTTGTCTTATCATGTTGGAATTTTGGGTAAACCACAATTGATTTTTTTCATCGTCTCATTTACTTAGCATCAATACTATCCTGACCACCAACCATGATTGATGTAGAATTATGATTAAAGACAAACACAATACAAGGAATTTGACATTCAACGACAATTTTTTTCCAGCAATTTTTATATGCAAATTACATTTTACTGTAATAGCTGTTGCAAATTGCATTTTACATCAATATGTTATTTGTATAACATCTTGCAGCATTATATAAAAAATTTGTTACTAAATGTAATTTTTGTTGTAGTGACATCAAGAAGATAACATGAAAAGTGAAAACTATTTCTACTAAACTCATGCCATTACCATCTGGTATTTGCTTTTGTTCAAGATCATGTAGCACACAGTTAGGACAGCTTTTGAATGAGATGAGTTTCTACCTCAATAGTCTAAACCACTACTATAATAAGAGATTATTATGTTTATTTCAGGGTTCAGTGGACTGACAGCCTATGCCGGATTCTTCGAGGTATGTAAGCCCAAGAAGGGGGATAAAGTGTTTGTTTCTGCTGCTTCGGGATCAGTCGGAAATTTGGTTGGACAATTTGCAAAATTGTTTGGTTGTTATGTGGTTGGATGCGCTGGAAGCAAAGAAAAGGTCAGCTTAACTATTTTAATGTTCATTTTTCAAGCTTTGATTGGTTTGAAGAATCTTAATTTTGTTGCAGGTAGCATTGCTTAAAGAAAAGCTTGGCTTTGATGATGCTTTCAACTACAGGGAAGAAACTGATTTGAAGTCAACTCTCAAAAGGTTAGGACCTGTACATTATTCATCAATATTAATTCATAGTAGGCATCTTATAGTAGATTAATATCAAATTAACTACAGTTGCATTCAATTCTGCAGGTACTTCCCTAATGGAATTGACATATATTTCGACAACGTCGGAGGAGAAATGCAAGAAGCAGTTATCGATAACATGAACATCAATGGAAAGGTAGCTGTTTGTGGGGTAATTTCAGAGTATACTGATAATGAAAAACGAGCTGCGCCGAGAATGATTGACGTTGTATACAAGAGAATCAAAATCCAGGGATTTCTAGCTGGTGATTACTTGAACAATTTTGCAGATTTCCTTTCAACAACATGTGATCACCTTCGCACTGGTAAAATTCAGCCATTGGAAGACATCTCAGATGGGGTTGAGAGTGCCCCCTCGGCTTTTATCAGTCTCTTTCGCGGTCAAAACATTGGAAAGAAGATTGTTAAAATTGCAGAAGAGTGAATGGAGGAAAACTATTTCTTGCCTGAATGATAATCTGAATGAACATTTTGCTACATTTACTTTTTGAATGTTTACTACGTAGCATATAGTATGATATGATAAATATTGTCGACTTGGCTGCTGTGTTATGTCCACCTAAAAACAAGGAGAATCTTGACAATGTTGGTTCAAAAAGGTGACAAAGAAAAAAAAATGATTTTAACTTCAAATTTTCCAAAAAAAAAAAATTCATGAGAGGAGTTATATGATGAGCTTCTGAAATTTATATCCTATTTTTTTAATCTAAATTATTACAAAAAGTATTTCAATATTAAGCAGCCTTAATTACAAGTAATATGTAAAAAATTCTTGATTTAATTATTAAAAAACAAAATTAAGTGCTAAAATTTAAATAAGACTAGTAAAATTTACTAACTTGGAATATCTTAATTTTCATACAATCTTTTTGGTTTAATTTTTTTGTGACAAATCTATTGGGTATAATATAGTCCTTAGCATCTTAAAAGCGCCTTAGGCCCTTCGACCTCGCCACATGGTAGGTGCCTTGGTGGTCAGCTGTCTACTCAATCTTCCTCTCTACACTATAAACTTGGGCCAAAGCACAAGCAGAGCTCGCAATGGCAGTAACATCAGGTTCATTGCAATAAAGACCCACATAAATGGTGAAAAAGAGTCTGATTTCGAGCTCAAGGGTGCACCTCTTGCACTTTCACTAGAGCCGGAGTCCTACGTAGTTAATGTAAAAAATCTGTACGTTTCCATTGACCCTTACCAGAAACCGCATGAAAAGTTACAGCTCATCACAAAGACTGCATTCTATTCCGTTGCTATTACTCCGGGTGTGGTATGTTAAACACAAAACTTATCTAGGCTGACTTGTAAGGATAATTAAGAGTTTTGAAGGTTTTTAGTCATGCATTTTAATTTGTTTGGCAGGTTATTGATACTTATGGTTTGGGCAAAGTTGTAGCTTCTGGAATCCTGAATTCAAGAAGGATGACTTTGGGTCCATTCGATGTATGTTAAGGTGAGAGTGATAATAAAATTAAGTCTTGTAGAGATAAGATTGAATATTATAAAGATACAATTAAAATTAACGATGAAATATGTATTTAAGTTTCAATTTTATGGTTGACTTTCCTAAAGTCTATGGTTATTGATCCCTTTCCTCCAGTTAGAGACTCAAGGAGCAATGAAAGTTTTGGATCCACCTGGGGCGCTATCCAAATGCATTCCGTGCTGTAGTTGGAGGGCTAAAACCCCTCGGATTCCACCTCACCTCCAAAGGAGACTTTAGTTGTTGTGTCATGGGCTTCGACCTAAGACTCAGAATCTGTGTGATTTTAGATTTAGAATCACTTTTTTTAGCCTAAATTAACCTAAAACACAAGCGTGTGGGCACTAAAACAACTGGAAGGACAGAATACGCAAGGTTGAAGGAACAAGAAAATTGTTGTAATATGCATTATATATTATTGAAGCAAATAGTCTGATGATGTACCAAGGAGGGTGGGGCGACTCTTTATTTATAGTTGAGGCCTCCAACTACACTTATGGCTAAACCCTAAAATCATGGGATTATAATATCTCCTAAAAATCAAGGATTACACAGATTATACATTAATATAAAAGGCTTCTCCCTGATTTTCAGGGTTAACCAAATCTTGCTGAAGGCTTCTGCCGATCCTTGGTGCTTTTAGAAGATTCTGGAGCACTTCTACTCCTCTGGGCCTTCCCAGGTGCGGTGTGGGAGCCTTGCGGGCTTGGCCCTCGTTGTGTGGGCAGGTCTACATGCTGTGTAGGCAGTTTGGACTCCTCTTCAAGGCTTAGTGTGCAAACCCCTACCAATGTCCCTAGTGTGTGAGTCTTAACCTCTAGTGCTATGGCCTGTGCGCCCACCCAGGGCATGAGATTTTTCCCCACCTGATTGTGCAACGCCTTCGTCATGTCCTTTATATGGAATTGCCTGATCTGGTCCTAAAATTGTCATAAGTCTTTTACTAGCTCCCAACTCATCTCACTGTATGAAAGTCCTTTCTAACACACCAAGTACTCCTATCTTGGTTGGTAGTTCTTTTGTCTCACTTTTCGATCAGCAATTATGCTATGGACCTCCATCTCATATGAGACTCTAGCTCATAACGGAGCATGCTTCGACTCTAGCCATCCTGGATCTTCTTTATCCTCATGAAACGGTTTGAACATGCTAACATAGAACACTAAGTGTACCCTCAACTTGGGTGGCATATCTAGCTTATAGGCAACCTTGCCTACTCTCTTGACTACTCGAAAAAGTCTTTCATACCTCTGGACTAGGCCTTTGTGCAGCCCCTTATTGCACACAATGAGGTGCAGCTTCACCAATACCAAGTCTCTTACTTTGAATTGCACGTCTCGCCTCTTCTGGTCTGCCTACTTTTTCGACCTCTTTGTGACTTTGTGGAGATAGACTCTGGCCAAGTCGACTTGCTCCTATCAAGCCTTGACAAACTTGTATGCTACTAGATTCAGCCCTGTATAACCTGTAGCAATCGAGCTGGGGGTTAATGATTGCTGACCTATCACAATCTTAAACGGACTATGGTTTGTTGTTTCACTCATCTGCAAGTTGTAAGAAAATTGGGTGACATTTAACAGCTTTGTCTAACCCTTTTTGTGGCACTCACATAGTACCTGAGATAGACCTCCAACAATTTATTCACACGTTTAGTTTGCCCATCGGTCTACAGATGCATATTGGTAGAAAAGTTCAAGTCTGACCCTAATAGCTTGAACAACTCAATCCAAAACCTGCCCTTAAAACGTTCATTCCGATCACTAATAATGGTCATCAGTACTCCCCAATACTTAACTACATTTTTTAAGAATAACTGGGCTGCCTCATCGACTGGGCACTTCTTGGTTGTTAGAATGAAAATCCCATACTTGGAAAACCTATCCACCACTACCATGATGTTTCAAACCCCTCTACCTTGGGAACACTGACTATAAAGTCTAGAGTGACGATTTCTCATGGTCACTCTGGCACTGACAATGGCTTCAAAAGATCGCCTGGTGGCTTGAGCTCCACCTTGTCATGTTGGCACATAAGACAAGTCTTCATATAGGCCTCCACATCTTTCCGTATGTATAGCCAGTAGTATTGGTCATTTAGCAAAGCTAAGGTACGACTCATTCCTGGGTGTCCAACCCACTTCGAATCATGACACTCGTGCATAACTTCCCTGTGGAGCTTTCTATGCTGCGGCATTAACAACTTACTGCCACTGGTAAGCGACAAATCATCCTGCACCTAAAATCCTCTACTCTTACCTTGCTTGGCATGCTCGATGAGACCTGTGGCTGTAGGATCGTGCACAAGCCCCTCATTGATGTGCAGCTCCAAATAACTCTATGGTTCACTAATGGCAGCTAGGCTTGTCTTCTTACTCAATGCGTCAGTCATTAGGTTTACCTGTCCAGGCTTGTACTCTAACTTGTAATCAAATTCTGTAAGAAAATCTTACCATCTCATCTGCTTAAGGGACAACTTCTTTTACGTCTGAAAGTAGCTGGTCGTCACATTATTTGTCCTAACCACGAATTTTGACCTTAACAGGTAATGACGCCAAATGGGCAAGCAGTGGACCACTACTGTCATATCTTTTTCTTGGATCATGTATTTATGCTCGATTTCATTGAGCTTTCAATTTTTAAATGTAACCAGATGACTTTTTTGTATCAACACACCTCTTATTGTGTAGTCTGATATGTCTGTATGCACCTTATATGGCTTGGCATGGTTTGGCAAGCTAAGACTAGTTCTTCAGTTAGCCTGCTTCAATCCATTAAAGGCTTTCTAGCACCTTATGCTTCACTCTCATGCTCTCCTTTTTTTGAGCAAGTTAGTTAATGACGTGACTATGGCTAAGTGGCCTTTGATAAAATACATGTAGTAATTAACCAGCTTAAAGAATGATCTCGACCCTGTGACTTTGGCTGATGATTCCCATTCCAGGATGGTGCTTACTTTGCCTTCATCCATGCGAATCCTGCCACTTCTCACTATGTGGCCTAAAAACAGAATCTCCTATTGGGTAAATGAGCATTTCTCCTTCTTGATATATAATTTGTTTACCCATAACACCTTGAACACCTGTCTCAAGTGCTCTACGTGGTCTTCCAATGTCTGACTATATACCACAATATCATCAAAATAAAACCACAATAAAACAATTAAGGAATGACTGAAATACCTTGTTCATTAGGGTGCAAAACATGGCTGGAGCATTGGTAAGTTTGAATAGCATGATCAAGAACTCATACGAACTATAAATTGTAACATATGCCATCTTGGGCTCATCTTCCTCTACGATCCTGACTTGATAATAACTTGACCTTAAATCTAGCTTGAAAAACCACCTTGCACTTCCAAGTTGATCGAATAAGTACGTAATGAGTGGGATAGGATACTTGTTCTTCACGGTCAGCTTGTTCAATGCCCGATAGTCTATACACAATCGCAGCGACCCATCATGCTTGCATTGAACAACACCGGTGCACTATACGGGGCCTTAGATGGTCTGATGTACCCTATATCAATTAGCTCTATGAGTTACTTCCTCAACTCTTTCAACTCTGAGAGAGATATTCGATAAGAGGCTCTGGTTGGTGGCTTGACCTCAGACACCAGCTCAATTTTATGGTCCACTTTTCCCTTAGGTGGTAACTTTTTTAGTAGCTTGATGGGCATCACATCGCTAAAGGCCTCCAACACTTTTAACACCTCCAATGGGGTATCGATCTCTTTTTCTCTTGATTTTTCATACTTTAAGACTACCAATAAGGTATCTTCATCTCTGCTTACTGCCTTAACAAATTGAATGGCTGACAGCACCTTGGACCTAATTTCGGACTTATGCTTTAATAATACAAGGCATTGGCACCATGCATCCATAATGCATATATAATTGGCAAAAGGCACAAGAAAGGCATTAATTCGAACAAAGAAATCTAATCCAATCATAAAATCATAGTCATCCAAGGGTATTACCTCAATGGTTTCTTTGTCCTTCCAATCTCCAAGCTGTAACTCTACTCTCTGTGCTACTCCAATAGCTGAAACTTTCTTGGAGTTCACCGTCTTAATGGTACTAGTCTTTTTTTGCACTTTCAGTTCGAGTTTCTGGGCTCCATCACTTGAAATAAACAAATGTGAGGTACCTGTGTCCACTAGTGCACTTATTTTTTTACCCACAACCATCGGATCCGCAAACATCATGCCCTTTGGTTTGTGGCTTCCCTTACTCTAGACAGTATTGAGCACCAACGACCTAAGTTTTGCTACCCCCGCCTCTGGCTCCTCATCCAACTCCTCATCTACAGTAGCTAACTTGCCCCTTTTTGGGTAATTACGCGTTATATGTCCCTTTCCACATAGGTAGCATGAGATCGGCTCTTGATATCATTTTGCCTTTCACTTATCTGCTGGTGGCTTCCTCTCGCCATCTTTGTCTGAACAATCTAGGTCCCCATATTTAGATTGCCGATCACGATCCTTTTTTTTGGACTATCTCTCTCAGTCCCTCTTGTCCTTGCCCTTTCTCTTGGGCTTGGAAAACTCGAACTTATTCTGTGGTTTGAACTCCACTAAAGACTCAGCAATAGTCATGGCTTTAGCCAAGTCACGAACTCTCCTCCATTGTAACTCGTGCTTCACCTATGGTTTCAACCCATCCATGAAAGTAAATAGACCTTTCGTCTCACTCAAATCTGAGATCTGAAGCATCAGTTCAAAGAATTTTTGGACATGTTCCCTTTTGTCCCTTTGCTGACTCAGCCTACGTAACTTTGTCCGTACCTCATCATTGGCTTACTTCAGTAAAACTACTGCCTGAACTTTTTTTGGAACTCTTCCCAGGTTCCAATCATGGTGCCCCTATGTCGGACATCATCACACCTGCGCCTTTACCATAATAAGGCTACATTAGTAATATACATAGAAGCGATGCTTACCTTTGTAGCATCATTTTGTATGCTTGTGGCTCAAAAGTACTGCTCCATCTCTCATAGGTAGTTGTCTACTTCCTTGGCCGACCTTGTCCCCTTGAACTCTTTGGGCTTGGGAATTTCCACATGAAACTTAGACACTTCAGCAAACATGTCATTCCCAATGGCAGTTTTGCAAGCAGCGAGCGCTCTCCTGAGCTCCTTTATCTCTCTACGCATGGCCTTCATCCCATTGCGCATGATCTCCACCTGGGCTTCCAAGAATTCATTCCTTTGGGTGATCATGTCGATGCCTTCATTGAGAGCAGCTTGTAACTCACCATTGAGCTCCTTTCTTATGAAGTCTAGTGCTTCAACATGAGTCTCCACATCATCAAGCTTCTCCTTCACATTGCCCATGGTCACTTCCATCTTGGATAGCCTTCCGTCCATGGTAGACCAGATGTTTCTCAAACTCATTTTCTTGTCTTTTCTACGGCCTTGCTCTTGGGCCTCTGGTTGTTGGTTAGCAACATTACTTTGGGATGCTATCTACTTTACTGCGATCTAACCTACACACAAACACAAGCAAAAATAAACTTTTTTTGATATCAACTGTCACGAGCTTCGATCTAAGACTCAGAATCTGTGCGACCTTAAGTTTAGAATCATCTCCTTTTAGCCTAAGTCAACCTAAAACACAAGTGTGCGAGCATTAAAACAACTAAAATGATAGAATGCACAAGGTTGAAAGAACAAGAGAATTGTTGAAACGTGCACTGTATATTACTGAAGCAAAAAGTCTGATGATGTATCAATGAGGGTTGGATGACTCCTTATTTATAGTGGAAACCCTTGTCTACACTTATGATAAATCTTAAAATTATGAAATTATAATATTTTTTAAAAATCAGAGATTACATAGATTATATATTAATATAAAAGACTCATTCATAATTTTTAGGGTCAATCAAATCATGTTGAAGGCTTCTACTGATCCTTGACGCCAATATCCATGGTGCGCGAGCCTTAACCTGATACTTGGGCTTGTGCGCCTGTGCGCCCACCTAGGGCGTGACAGTTGGACTTCGCCACCAGGGAGAGTACACTGTGATAAAACGTGTTGGCATGTTAAACAAGTTGAACCCCATGGGGTTTCCATCGTCTTACCATGTTGGAATTTTAGGTAAATTAACCGCTTACCATCTTTTCATTCATCAGCATATAATCAACCTAATTACTGGGTAGAACTTGTGGGGTATCTAGCTAGCTAATGGAAACTTAATTCTGAATCAAACAAGTCTAATCTATTCATCTCAGTTCTATAAAAAAACTACTATTATTATAACAAGGTATTTTCGGTGCTTCTTTCAGGGTCGAGTGGGTTGGCAGCTTATGTTGGATTTTTCGAAATATTTAAGCCCAAGAAAGTGGACAAAGTCTTTGTTTCTGCTGCTTCAGGATATCAATCTTCACATTTGACACATTTCTAGGGATGCTAGAAAATCTGATCGGGAGTTTATAATTGGTTGGTTGGTATAGCAGTCTGTGTTAATTATGCGCGAGTTATTAACCTAAAAGTGTAAAAGGCAATACGGGAGTGAGAATTAGTGGCATGTTGCGCACTCGAAATTGCTTTTGAAATGCATCTTGCTTGATTTGGTTAAACACTCTTAATCAAGGTGCTTAATGACTCGAGAAATAGCTTTACCCCAGGTTTATATCAGTTGTGGTTTTTTTATTGTCTGAAAGAATGGCAACAATCATTATAATGCACTAAAGAATGAAACTTAATGGGTTTTTCTGATATGTAGTGCATTATATGATGATAAAAATACAGACAATTAACATGCAGATCTATACTAAGCATTTTCAAGATGGGGCCAATTTCCTTTTTTCTTCTTTTTTCAACACATTGAGCTGTCTTAATGATGCAGCTGCTGCTGCTGATTTAATGATAGTTCCAGCTTTCAACAAGTCAACATTATGCTTTTAGAATAGTTTTCTGTATACTTTGTCATTGAGCTTTCTTTTGCGTGGTTCTTTTCAGATACATTGGAGAAGAAAAACCCCTAAAGCAACATAGAGGACTTGGTTAATGGCCAGCTCTAAAATAACAAATTTTATAACCATTTTTTTCTCCGTCTTTCTGGCTACAGCTTGTGCTTAGCACTTCATCACCATTTTTTATTGTTCAAAAAACTTTACCCCACTCCATTGATGCAAAAACCAGTGGTACAAAGCCCATAAATTATCGGTGGAACGGATAAAAGTTGTTTAATATAAAACATCCGACAAAAAAACCGGTTCAAACTGTAATCAATTCAACTTAACCGTTGACATATCCAACACTTGATCTCATTACTCTTTCTATCCATGGTTCTAATGTTTGAATGCATCATCATTTTGCCCTTTAATTTTTTTTCTGAGTGCATAAGATACAAGATGCATAACAGCATCCGAAGGATGGACAGATTAGAAAGCAGTACATTATCTAAACCAATGAACAATACATTGAACTACATATTAGTAATCGACCTACAAAAAAAAAATGGTATTAATCGTATAGCATATAATCTGGATGGAGTGTATTTTCCTTCCCCTTCTAGTTTCCTATGCCTTGTCAGTTGACCCATCAGCATTGTTCCGTTATTAATTCAATAGAGGATCATTCATCTGGTCAGTTACCAGAAGAGAGTTGTATCTTTGAACCATCTGCGTCAACTGCACTGCTTTGCATGAAAATCTTCCGCTGATAGCAGATCACTGATGAGACGTTTGAGTCTCTCAGCACCAGGACCTGGCCTAAGCTCTGTGGTATTTGCTCTGTCATGATCTTGGAAAGTTACGTTAGAAGTTCCTTCATTATTGAACCATCCACCAAGCACAAATCCATTGGCATCGCAGTTCAAAAGTTCAGAATCAATCTTGTCAAGAACTGGTTCGTTCTTGCCAAATTTCCTTGCAAAGGGAGCATTGCTGTCAACCATCCTTCGGTAGTCATCTACAGTAAGGAAATGTGGATGTTGTTTTGGCGGGTTGTCCCAAGATATGAAATGGAGGTCATGATTAACGGTGGCATTCCGGAACTCATATGCGTTACAGATAACAGTGTGGAAATACCCTTCAGGGGAAGAAAGAAAGTTTGCATAGTACATAAGGGCTATCCTTGGGAGGTTGTCCCACCCCCACAAACAATACTCGATGAAAGGATGAGAGAGCATCATCCAAGCAGAACCTGATAAATTGAGCAGAATCTACAATCAGATGCATATAAGTGTACCCTAAGATTATGCTTCCAAGCGTCCACTTCACAAAACTTATCAATCAATCCAGAACAGTGGCATGGTGGGATGAATGGAGAAGAAGAAGAAACTGGGTGGTGGGAGCCAAGGATAGGCTGCAGGCCTCATTTCTTCATTCTAAAGGTGATCCCTTACAGGAAATCCATGTGACACCTAGAGTAAACAAATCCAGTGGAAAGCAACTTTCATCTTAGCTGAAAGGATGAGATGCCTACAAAAATGAAATGTCCAACTCTGGGACTTCATGAAACCTCTACCATCTAGCTGAAAATTAGATTACACGTTTATCTAGGTGCTCTTAAGCAACTTTCCTAGTTGTTGTAAGTTATGCCAAAGAATAATGGTAAGAATGGTTTTTGTAAACTGAGAGGGATGCTAGAATGCCTGGTGACCAAATATATCATGATATTCAACCATGTATAATAAGGGCTTGGCTGAAAAAGAGGTAGGGCAAGACAAAAGTTCACTAGACAACAAGATCTGATTTACATGAAACAATAATTAACAAATTATGGTGTGTTTAAAAGTAGAATTTTAAGAGGGTTGAAAAATAACATATCAGCAATAGATTTAAAAGATGCACTAGTTCATTTAACAACCTAGAAATTTCAAAAAGCAAAAACATTCCAAATGATAGAGTAAGTTGTCCATACTCTTATCTAATTCTTCTATTAAAACAACATTATGCATTCAATGCTTCATAACGGCACGTAAACCCAGGGTGAGTGGATGACTAATATGCAACCACAATCAAGTTGTACAGATATGACTTTCCTCTTTCTTTTTCTCCCAATTATTATTGAGATATACCTTCACATTTTGGCTCAACAGTTTTGTACGAAAAAGATCAAATATGGTTCAAATATTCTTTCTAAGGAAATATATACAAACAAAAGCAGTCTCTCACTGAAAGGTAATAACTATTTTTATACACTACACAGAAGCACAGAAATAAATTTTCTCACCTGTAAACAGCCTATATGCAGTTGGTACACTCCTTTTCTCTGAAACCCAAAATACATCCGACTTTTGCCGGCTATAAAGCCCTGGATCAATTATAACAGGCTTGGCTCTCTGATACCTGAAATTGAGCAAAAATACATTCCTCAAGTAGATTTACACACAAACATTGCAGACATATAATGCTAGCTTTAAATTGATATTATCTCTTAAATCCCAGAGAGATAATTAAATGTTGAAACAGATACTAACAAAAGCATAAGGGATGAACCACCTACTCCTTCCATCCAATGTCACTGGTATGCTCGATAAAATTAAGGTCCCTTGGGATTGTTGATAATGTATGAAGCAGATCTGTCGCACAAAAAAGAAAATATACAAATTAAAAGCTCACGAAACCAATGCAGAAACACTAGTACTAGTAAACAGAAATAACATACAAAAGACTAAGAACAAGAACAAAGTTACGGGGCATAATGGAGGAAGTGAGAAAAATGAAAAGGCATGAATAGGTGATCATTTCTAATTGGAGAGCCTAATGAACAGGCGGTCATTTCTAATTAATGACCAATAATTAATTATAATTAGATACAGATTTAGACTAGAAAAATAGTCCCCTACAAATGGTCATTTCTAATTGGAGAGTCTGAAATCTAATTCCGAGCAGCTAATGTAGGCAGCGAAATGCATACATATAATATACATTGAATATTAACCAAGATTAACAGCAATTCAGCAGTAAACATTAAGCAGGTCGAATTAAAGTATCCCAGATTTTAAATTAAAAAATAGAACCAACCAAATCAAACTCAGATAACTCTAAAATTAGTAACTTTTCAAAAAAGTTCCTCTTTTCTCAACTCAAAACCACAAATAACACCAGCAACCACAACCAATGAATAGCTGAATAAAAAGATTAACATCAAATCTAAAACCCAGAAATCATCCATCCTTAACATACCATCTTGAGTAACCAAAGGGTAATCAGAAGCACTCAAGTTGATGAACCAATCCCAGTTACCACCTTCCTTAAACAAAATGGCAGCAGCATGAAGGGTATTGGTAACCATGGTAGGCCCTCTATAAGTCACCAGGTTGGCTCTAGTAACCATCCTCACATTCCCAAATTTCTTAAAGAGCGGCTCACTTTTCACAAACTTTGCCACCTCCAATCTCTCCTCAGCAGAAGCCTCCAAATCCAAATGCACGGCATATTCGTTCCTGGGATGGTACAAGGCTTTCAACGTTCTCTTCAAGCTCTCCCCATCGCCTGCCGAGCCAGATATGAGATAAGCCAGTTTGGGAACTGGGTTAGGAGATGTTGGCGCCACACGGAGCTTGGATTCCACGAACTGAGGAAGTTGGGTCTTGGTTCTGCGGGTACGGGTGTAGTAAAAAAGAGAGGAAGTTGAAGAAGTGGAGGTTACGGAGATGATGATGAGAAGAGTTGAAAGGATAAGAGAAAATGTTAAGAGAAGGAACCAACTTTTCTTCTTGTGTTGCTGTAGCTTGTTTGCAGAGCCAGACTCCATCAGTTTATTCATTTTTCTTGCCAAAACACTGGAATCAAAGCCTTGTGAATTTGATGATATATATGAATTAATTTGTTTGGATTTGTGGCTGGTGGGTGAGCGAGCGTAAGTTCTTTGAGTGTGACTCGCTTCGCTGGTGGAGAGAGAAAGAAATGAAAGTGTCCTTCGTTACGAGAGAAAGAAAAGGACTTGGAAAAGTTACGGGAGAGAAAGAGAGAGAATGGTGGGGCCTGTGAATATTCGTATTGTTTGTTGTAGGAAATGCACGCGCCGTTTATGGAGGGAAAATGACTTTTGTCTTATTGGTTGTTTTTTCGCTGTCAGGTCTAAACCTCTCAAGTGATAACTCTGGGTTGTTACATGATCAAATTCTTTTTGGGTTCATGGATGTTACATGTTCATTAATTTAATTTAATTGCATTGTTTTTTTCATCATTAACTACGGTTGGGTTTTTTTTTAGTATCATTTATTAACAGATTGAGTTTCCAATTAATATTTCTCTTAGATAATAATAAAAGAAACCAAGGGAAGCATTCTTCTTCATCCAAATTTCTTCAAATGAATGATTTCTTCGATTCAAATGGGAAAAATGCAGTTAACACAGAAATGATGGACGAATCGATTATTAGCTCCAAATACTACAATACCTATTCTGTCACTGTATAATGGTGGGCAAAGTGCGCGTGGTAAAGAAAGCGCGTAAGAGGGGAAAAAAAAGGTTGGTGCAATTGGCAGCAAGTGATAAAGCTCATAAAAGTGGGGAAAGGGGTGCGGTGGCCTGGAGCAGATTTCGAATGAAATGAGACTTAAATGTGAAAATAAAAAAAAGCTGGCGGCCATTAAACAAAATTATTAAGCTGGATGGTCACTTCAATCGGCTTTTGTTGTTTGGTGAAGAGCACCTTCTTTGTGTTGTTAATAATGTGACTGCTACAGCCGTCAACGCATGGCCATGGCTGGGTTAACATTAACGTTGCCTGCAAATTCTTTGTTTCTTCATCTCCAATTTCTCTTCGAAAGGCATATCTTTTTCTTCTTTTTTGCAGTTGTCAGTTCTCATAACTAATACTATTTACTACATTAGCTTTGGTTTTATGTTTATTTACAAATTATATTGAATTTTCCCAAGGTGCAACTTGGGCTAAGTTTCTCGAATTGAGTTGGGTCTGGATCCAACTCGAGTGGCTTGGGCCAAGGTTGGGTTCTGTATCAAGTACACCCGCAATTGGTCACAATCTCTAAACCTTAAATTCCTAATTATAGTAAATAACATTGTCAACAAACAGATAGAAATAAGAGAACTTGAGTAATGAGCCTAAAGTTGAAAATCTTGAATAATTTGTTCGAGTTGTTGAATGATACTGGACACCTCGTTATGTTGGGCCAGCCCATGAAGGCGTCCTAGTTAGTTCATTGAACCCCCTTCACAAGTTAGTTCCGGATTGGGCTTTGCAGTTTGCACTTACTCATTTCTCTTGATTTCTCAACTACACTAATTTGTAAGGCTTCAAGGGGTCCAGCTCCAACACCAGAGGCCTCACCATCGACTATATAGTGCATCTTTCTCCCAAATTCTCCGAAATATGTTAAATGTGCCTCGCAACGATCTATATTATCCATATATTGAGCCAACATATGTCTTTATGCCCATGCTGATTCAGTCAAAAGATTTGTATGATCCATTTAAAATTTAATTCGATTAATTTATATAATTATTTTATATTTAAGAAATTGAAATTTTGAATTTTAATATTTATATAATCTTTTTTTATTTTTAAATTACAATTTTTTATATAAAAAAATTTATAAAACAGACAAGATGTGAAGGTTTGTATTCCGAAACACTCTCTGCAACTAAGGCAATATATCACTAAAAATGAAGAGGTAAGATTATGAAAAAGAACAAGGTAAGGTCGAAAAAAGAATGGGATTTGGATCGTAACAAAAATATTACTAATTTTACTCGTTTCTCGCTGCTATAATTATGTTTGCAACTTACTTTTAATCCTTCGTTTGGTTGCTTTTCCACGTTTCCTGCTACCAATTCAATGCCTTTCGGCTTTTGCAGTCCAAGACTGACTGTTTAAGACTCCACAATTGAGCCTAACTTTCATTTACGTGTCATTCCTCAAGGCTTAGCATGTTTCTTTACCCCATCAATTGCGGGGTTCAGACTCCAGATTCTAACTTTATAGACCCAGGAAGGAACATTAATTTTCAATCTATCTAAATTCTAAACAATGTTTGAAGATGTAGACTTTTGATCTGTTGACGAATGATTTTTTTTTTTTTTTAATTTGGGAAAATTACTGGACTCGTCATCAATATCAAGTTTTGAGTTTTCCATGTGAAAATTCCTTCAAACGCGCAATGACTGATTGTCAACTTCAAAACATTACCATCCAACATGACTTTTGGGTTGGTTTTTTATCTCAATTCTCTTGTTTTGTATCTTCGTTTCTCTTTGCCTAAAAATCACGCCATGGCATCACAAAGTTGTCAGTTCCCTTTGTATCTTTGATGGCCGGCTGAAGGAACAACGATTGACCCATTATTCCTTACCACCCAGGTCGTCATTAGTTTCTGCTATTCCCAAGGAATTATTCCTACCATTCGTTGCCCACCGGTTCCTCTTGTAAAAGCTTGGTAATTTTTTGTTTGTTTTTATCCAATTCAATGAGGCGTTTCGCAAAGGGTCGATGGTTTTTTATCTCAACTTTTGGATGGCAATAGAAGGATTTTGGCTTCCCCCCATGAGTTTACAGAGTTGATAGGATTTTTTGATTGACTTTCAAGTACTTTTTCTTGTATAATTACTTTTTTCTTTCACATGATAACATATTATACGGCCTGTTCTGAGTTTTGACTGTTCTGTACTGTTAATATCGGTTAAAAATTAATTGATGTTAATATTCATTCTCATTCAATCAAAAATTTAATTTAATGAAAATAAATATTTAAATATTTAATTGAATTAAATTAATATATAAAAACTTAATTAATTGTAATAAAATCATAGAAATTTGAATAAATATTTAATTTTAATTCAAGAATTTTTATTATATTTAATCCAAAAAATAAGATTTATTTTTTTCACTTTTCGTTTACTTATAGTAATTAATAGAAAAAAACCAAATTATCAATTCGAAGAAATTTTTATATTCTATAAAAAAAAAAACTCTTTTTTTTATAAAAATAATAGAGCAAATACCAAGGTATTGGCAAAAAAATAAAATAAAATTACCAAGATGATAACTACCCAGACTAAAATTATATTATCCAAACATGAAGCAACCCCCAAGGAGTCAAGAACCAGTTGCGATTGTGATAATTTAATCATGGAATGCTACCAACCTTAGTGAAAGCAAACCAAAACTGAAGTTCCCTAATTAATTTATCAAACCACCAAATCCCCATATTTAAACTCCCAACTCCATCAAGATCACAACCCTCCCCATACCAGAAAGTCCTCCTCCTCCTCCTACACACTTTGCATCCTCTTTCGGGGGCCAGAATCGACCACCAACAACCATGGGAGCATCCAGCGACGCCACCACAACCACCCCATCCGCCACCCTCTCCCCTTCCATCCTCAAAAAAATACTCATCTCCTACACCTACGTAGCCATATGGATCTTCCTTTCCTTCACCGTAATAGTGTACAACAAATACATCCTGGACCGAAAAATGTATAATTGGCCTTACCCCATCTCCCTTACACTCATCCATATGGGCTTTTGTTCCTCCATAGCTATCCTCCTCGTCCGGATCTTCCATGTTGTAGACCTTCCTTCTTCCATGTCACCCCGTCTCTACCTCTCCTCTGTAGTCCCCATCGGCGCCCTTTACTCCCTTTCCCTTTGGCTGTCTAACTCAACCTACATCTATCTCTCTGTTTCCTTTATCCAAATGCTCAAAGCCCTAATGCCAGTTGCTGTTTACTCCATCGGTGTTCTCTTTCGTAAAGATTCTTTTAAATCTTCCACCATGGCTAACATGCTGTCTATTTCTTTTGGGGTCGCCATTGCTGCTTATGGAGAAGCCAAATTCGATGCTTGGGGTGTTCTTTTACAGCTTGGAGCCGTTGCTTTTGAAGCTACGAGACTGGTTTTGATCCAAATACTCCTTACTTCAAAAGGAATTAACCTTAACCCAATTACTTCCCTTTATTACGTTGCTCCTTGTTGTTTCCTTTTCTTGCTTATTCCCTGGGTTACAGTGGAACTTCCTTCACTTAAAGAAAACTCAAGTTTCCATTTTGATTACTTCATCTTCGGGACTAACTCTTTTTGCGCTTTCGCTTTGAACCTGGCGGTGTTTTTGTTAGTCGGGAAGACCTCGGCTTTGACAATGAACGTGGCTGGTGTGGTCAAAGACTGGTTGCTGATAGCCTTTTCGTGGTCGGTGATTAAAGATACGGTGACTCCAGTTAACTTGTTTGGTTATGGGCTTGCATTTTTGGGGGTTGCTTATTATAATCATTCAAAGTTGAAAGGGCTTAGAGAGAGGGAAGCACAGAGGAAGGCTGAAGAGGCTGATGATGAGGAAAGTGGCAGATTGTTGGATCCGACTGAAGGGGATGGGACTACAAGAAGAAATGAATCGCAGGGTTAACTTTGATTTCATACACTTTAATTTCAAATTTCTTTTAGCTTTTCTTTGCTTTCTCCGTTTATGGTTGGCTGCAGTCATGTTATTGGGGGAGTTTTGTTGGTTATCTTGTCAATGGTGCCAATTCATGTTGTAGCTGTGCAGATTTATACTGATCATAATTTAGATCTGTCACAAATTTTACTTATGCTTCTGGAGCTAGAGAATTTACTTTTATTTGTCGGATCAACTCACTTATTTTATATTCAGCATCATAGTCTTTTATTCCGTACACAACTTAGAGAGGTGATTGCCTTTTTCTGATTGTGATCAAATGTTCAACTCAATCATACATTCACTTTCAAATTGTTGGTCTGATATTTGGTGGATGATGTTAGCAAAAAGCCTTTTGTTTTGTTTTTCTTTTGTGAAAGTAAGCCTTTGATGATTGCAATTAGCATTGCTGTGGATTCTGGATTGAAAGTTAACTAGTAAAATGTAAAAACAAATTCAAGAAGAAAACCTTGGGCGCTGTCTTATAGATCATGGGTTTAGACTATACCTATTGAGTTTGGATTTATAGCTGCTTAGGGAAATAAGGGTTTGAAGAAGGGATGGGCAGACTTGATAATGGTATAAAGGAACCTAGTGCTTACCTTCTTTACATGTTCTTGTGGACGCTTGTACCTTTTCCAGCTTGATCGGTTAAAACGTTTGAAACAATGCTATGCTATCTTTTTTTTTAATAATATTGGAGCTAATGGGATCGCCAATCCCCTGCATCCGTTAATCAGAACCTAATCTAAAAGTCGTATTTCAATCAGATCTTTTCATTGCTGAGCAAGCCAAATCGGATATTAAGAACTGGTAAGCCAAATGAAGTGTGAGTTGCTAAATGCTATACAACTTGCTACTAATGGCTGTAATTCATCCATATAATTCATTATGTTTAATCTAAGTGATCAAACCTCAAACCGAAGAATATAATATATGTCAAAGCCTATTCAACAAATAATATGTATTAAGAAAAGATAATTAGTTGTAATATTTTGTTCCAACTAATTCAAGAATTCCTTCGTCTTTGTCTTCCACCACACCTTTCAACTTGTTGAGGAAAATGTTGATGATGAACCATGGAGGAGCATCCACCTCCCAAATGTCTTCTAGTGAAAAGTGTGCATCATGAACTAAAGCAAGATGCTCCTCCATATGTTGGTGGTCTCCCTTATACTGGCCGTTTTGAAATGGGCACTCAGTCTTCAAGGATTTGAAGTAGTCTCGATGAGGAACAGACATTTCAACCCCACGAATATTGTTTCTACAAAGGGGACTTTTAGCAACAATAAAAAATCAAACCTCTATTTGGAGGAAAAGGTAACACGTTCCACCCATTTTGCAAAGGAATACAATCCCTTCTCCCCCAAAACGGAAGGAATTGGTTCACATAAGAAAGATTTTAGATAGATGAGCCACAAAGTAGGGGCTTGCAGGTCATGTTTCTTCCCCCCACCTCTAGAATAATTTTCACTGTAACATTGGAGGACGACTGGATTTCTAGGAGGATCGGAGTTGGCAAATGAAGCATTTCGTTTCCGTGTCACTCGGATCCATTTGTAAATTAATGGAATAACATAATTTCCTTTCCCTTTTTCATAGAATATGCTAAGAATTCTAGTAACAAGCTAGCTAAGAATATTCATGTAACAGAGATAGCAGAAAAAATAGAGCTTAATTATAAATTTTTGTTGAAAGAACATTTAATAGCCAAGTTATATATATATAGCCACACCACAAAATGCATGATCAGCTGATCATAATCTTTATTGTCTCTATTAAGCGAATTGAATACTTTTGAATCAGATTGTTACAAATATCTTGCTTGAAATATATAGTTAGGTTATATATTTTTGTTGAATATATATATATATATATATATCTTCATTGATACCAATTTAGGATTCAAACTTGGTGAGCAAGAATCATCTCTATGGATCGCTTATTACATTTTAGTTCTTACCACTTAAAGTAAGGGATAAGGTGTTAGTTAGGCTACACTTCCTAATTTGTAAGCGCATGAAACATTGATTTCTAGTACATGAAAGCACCTGCACTAGTTGCCTAATAGTATCTTTTGGCATGCGTTTTAAGCATGATAGTAGATAATACGACAATACAAAATTTAATAAAATGGTAAAATATTGTCTTGTATTTGGTCCCTTAACTTCTTTGCCCATTTCCATTTCCATTTCCCTTAACTTATATTAGTTGGCTTTGGAGTATAGTCATGTTGCAATCCATGCTTGTTCTCATTTTCCATGCACGGCCTCTTGGCCTAGCTACGGTTCACCCTGTACCTTGAACACATTTTGGTTGGGTTTTAAGTCAATACCCTTGATTGCATGCAAGTGAATTCTCTATACTGGTCACCAGTTGGCCGTTTCATCGTATTTGCAGGCTTGGGGGTTTTGGTGGACACCTGATCTTTTATGATGCTTATGCACTTCAAACATTATAGAATGGAGTCCTACCGGATGATAACTGGGAAAACCGCCCAAGTTTTGGTTGCCATCCTCGGTTTGTCTTCCTTCTTTCACTTCAATTGCCCCTTTTTTCTTCTTTCCTGTTTAAAGCTTCACTCTGGTTTCGTCCCGAACCTCTCCTTTACCCATCCTCTTTGATTCAGATTGTGGGGCATTCAATGCACTTGATGTAGACCAGAAAGAAGAGGCTTTCCCGTGGGCTGGGGGAGTAGCCGCCTCTTCACTCTCCTTCAGCCGATTCAGATACCGAATCGTATCTCTTGGGGAGCTTATCTTCTTTCTCACTACCCGTTTTGCTTTGCCTCTCCTTAGGCTTCCTACTCAACACTAATGCGAGGTTTGATTCTAATTTACATCATAATCTATTTGTTTTTAAGAAACCCATGAAAAAAATTTTTGAGATTTTTCCGGATGAAGAAAATATAACTTTGATATTTTTCTTTCACGTCTTTCTCCAAAAGTCAAAGAAAAAGACTAGAAATTTTTTGAAGTTCCGGTTTTCATGTTCTTCTTGTCTCCGGTTTCCTCCAAGTTTTGTTTTTTTATTCCATTTATTGTTTTGGTGATTGGAATTTTGGAAAGGGATCAAAGTTTTCTTTGATTTTCAGAGATTTTTTTATTCAATCGTCGAAATCGAAATCAGCTCCATAGTTTTGTCGAAATCTGAGTTGGAGTATATTATTTACATTACACCCTTAATTGAGACGTACAGGCCCTGGAATATATAAGGCCGACATCACATTCAAAGCATATATAGCTTGCCCAGGTACAATGAGAATATAAGAATTAGTTGCCTCTTTAGGGGAACGAGCACTCATCTATTTCATCTGGTTTTGCATTTTGGCTGCCATTGTAAGTCACACCACATCTCTGCAAAACAAGGGCTTATAATTTAGCTCTTCATTCCAAATAAGTCTTGCAGACAGACTACATAAAAATCTTGTTTTAAGAGGGTCTAAGCAGCTTATATTCTAGACAAATTTTCCAAGTATAAGCAACTTATAAAAGTCTTCATTGCCTTGTTAATCATGTTGGCTAATCCCTTAATTTTACAATTGATCATTCTTATCGTATGAAACAGACGCCAACAGTACTGAGCCACTACAAGTTGCAGTTGTCTCATAGATTTTAGAACTATTTCCATTCATCTTGAATCGTTTTGACAACGGACAGACTCTTGTTAATGCAACTTGTACACATTTTTTGGAAGGTACAACTTAGAAAGGAGTAAACAGTATAATATAAGCCCTCTAGGATGTAGAAAATAAACGGAATAAGAGATTGCTATCCACTTTCTTCCTTAAGAGGAACATTAACTATGACTATTCTTTTGTCCTTCAAAGTAACTTAACCAGGATTTGGCTTATACTTTTTGGCGCACACAAGAAATAATCCCAAGTTGGTGAGGCTTAAAACAGCTAGAAGTCCATAAAAGTAGTCCAGTCTGCCATCATTGATCCGATGAGCCAGCCAATCATGTCCACCCTTTGTTCCAGTAACTTTCCTTATAGTGCTTCAAAAAAAACCAAACGAAACGAGATGGTTGTGAGGAAAAGGCCAGTACCATTGCTTTCATCCCTCTACGTGACTCAGTTATGAAGAAATCAAGCTGGCCAGCATAATGCTGAATGCATCTCCAATCCCAACCAAGACGAATGAAGGAAGCAACAAGAAAGCACTCTGTTGGGGGTATTTATTGGTCCAATGGGTATTAAGGATTTTTCTCTCGTTATAAGCTTTTAGTAAACAGTTAGAGATATTTTAGATATTTGGATCAATTTCACATGTTTAGTAACACCTCAGTTCAGTTACGTTATTATTATCCCCTGTAGACCTCTTATCTTACACCTATAAATAAAGATAAACAGGTACTATCATTCTATTCTATTCCGTTTCCATAACTCTTACTTTTCTCTCTTTCCGACTTTTTTCATATCAATTTTTATCTTGTGTGTTAGAGTGCAAATGTAAGAAACATTTTTTTTTCTTTGCTTGTAACCGCTCTCTTCTCTTTTTTTTGTCTTTTTAGAATTACCCTCAGAGCTAGGCATAAACACACTCACCGGTAGGATTAAGGTGGTGGTTCCCTTGGTTTTAGCAACTGACAATCGTTTCATTTCTGCCAACGCTGTACCCACTATAGCTATAATGGAGAAGAAGAGACCTAGCCCTATTTTTTGCAAACTGGTCAAACCTGATAAAAGTTATTTGAATTTATTTAGGTGATTAATGAAACAACCAAAAACAGGATGGTGATAGAGAATCTTTTTTTTTTTTCTTTAGTAAGAAGGAAGCATTTTACAATCGAGTACCTTGAGGATATCTTGTTTTCCTGAAGAGTGTTATGATCAGGCGGTCATAGATTGCAAGAGTGAGCATAATGGATCCAATCATGAAGACACTGAAAGATGCTGGGGGGATTTCAAAGTTCCCTATGGATCTCTCCATTGTTGAAACCTGCTGGACTGAAAAGCTGGCCATCTGTGCATATACGGTCCAAAACATGATTGTTGTTGCCCAAATTGGCGGTAATCCAGTGAACATCTTAATTTCTTCTACCCTTGTCATTGAGCAAAGACTCCATGGATTTGGAGTTAGCGATTCACTTGTTCATGTATCCTTGCTTGTAATGATTGTTGCCTTGTCCAAGCATCTGCCATCCAAATTTTGTATGTCAATAGATTTTTACTGCTTTTCCACAAGATCCCTTCAGATGAAGCCTTTAAAATGCCATGATGTGGACTCAACTTTTGAGTTACAGGAAACCAGTGTCTACTGTAATGGCTTAGACCCAACATACAGAGTTAGTTTAGTGTAAATCAGCAATTAAATCTTGGTCAGCATTGACACTGTTCTTATCCTGGGGTTGGAAACTATAAAGCACTTCTTTCAGCCTGGTCTATTTTCAGTCTTGAAAAAAAAAATCCTTTGTATGTAATTCAATGTCAAACAAAAGGATAAAACCTTATGTTAACAACATTCAAGAGAAAAGAATCTCAAACCAATTACGAAACGCAACTTCATTGTTGAGTACATAACTTATTTGTGTGTGACAGTCTCAGTTCCTGTGCAGGATCCTCATATAAATGGCTAATATCAGATGGAAAGTCAACAATCCATTTCCTTACAGCAGCCACCAAAACTTGAAGAATTTGAACCACAGGGCTTCCAGGGCTTTCCTTGTACCTATACTTTTTAGTTCCTGATAGAAATACTGAGGCGCCAGAAGCATAAAAGCGGAGCAAATACCATAAACCCCAGCTCCGGCCTACTTTATCTTGTATGTAAACAAGAACAGTGACCGCTAGCAGCGCTAGCAGTGCTCCTATTTTGATAATCAAGTAAAAAAGGTTGAAGAAACTGGCCATTTGCAGCTTTTCCTTCTCATCATTCTTATCAAATTGGTCTGTTCCAAATCCTGAAACACTTGACTTAATCCCACCAAGTCCTATTCCATATAAATATAGAGCAAAAGCAAAGACACCCATTTGCAGGCTTTTGGCCTCTACAAATTCATTGGATTGAGCAGGTTTGCAAGAAGGTGGGCGCAGCTGGCGCAATCCTAAGTGCCTTAGTTCATCACCACATGGCCAAGGTTTAAAGTGTTATCAAGTAAACCACACGACTCTGGAAAAGAAACGAAAGATGCTTTGACTACTTACCGTTGCATTAATCAGAGCAGACATGGCTATTGTCCGATATCGGGTTAAGAAAGTATCTGCAAGAATACCTCCAAGAAAGCATAACATATATGATGTGCACCCGAAATTTGTACTGATATTTGAAGAAGTTGCGCTAGACAGATGTATTGTGCCAACTAAATATGTCACCAGGTTCACCACAATTGCCATCGTCGAAAGCCTCTCAGATAACTCCTAAAAAGAGAAATTGTAGCAACCATAATCAATTTTCATGTGTGGAAAAGAAGTCTATACTTCTGTTGAGGCCTAAATTAATGAACAAAGGTCTGAAGTCATTGGACCACCCTGAAAAGGAAGGATCTCATTCAATGTCAAAAGTTCAAATTGCAACTAAAACATTAAATTTACAGCATATCCATAACATATATGTGTATCAACAACATTCTACCACAGTAACATGAAGCAGGTCCTGTTTTAAACACATTTGGTTTTTGTTCCATGTTTCAGATATGTAAATGGGGTTAGAAGTGAAAACTATTAAACTAATGGTTAAATTCTTGAACTATTAAACTCTTTGAAATTTTCAGAAAAGCAAAGGCGTTAAGAATTAATTTTCTAGAATAATTGATTCCTCTAAACTCTGAAGACCAAAAGCACTAAGATTATAGACTATGCAGAGGAAAAGTTAAGAAATTCACCCAGAATAGGAGTTGCAGCCAACTAACTACCAGAGGTGGTCCTACTATCAGCAGAATTTCCCTCGTAATCAACAGCATCCGAGACAAGTTGCATTTGATTTTCTTCCATGACAGACGAATCAAATGGTGAAAAGAATAACAGAAAATTTATAGGAGTAAATCTAACAAGGAAACGAGAATCGACTGGAGCTGTTTATATTGTTCCAAGATCACTTCAGACATGTAATAGATGTGACCAAATACATTGGGCTTAGAAGGGAAATAAATCAGATTTATTAACTCGTAAAGTTAGAGACAACCATTAGCTTCAGCAAAGGATGTATATTACTATATCTTTCAGGTCAGGTAAATGATTTTTTTTCCTTCTTACAAACTAGGGAAGATTTGAAATTTGAAATTTCATCCATTTAAAGGAAGAACTCAACTACCGGGGAACAAAATTCAATGCAACGATCCCCTTGGATTAGAATAGTGGAAAATGGTTCTATCACAATTTCATTACAGAGCTTTCTTGGAAGGTGATCACCTGGGTCCTAGAGTATGAAGGGTTTGCACTGTTCACACTGCTCAAGGTATCCAAGACAAAAATATCTTGGTCTTGTGCCTTACAGCCCATTAAAGGTCTCATTAAACAAATCAGAGCAATGTAAATTCAACCGCAACTGCATTATCAAACTAGGCCTAAGAGAATTTTTGTTCACTTGTACCAACGTCAAGAAAGGAAAGATACTTGCTGGAAAATTAATGCTACAATCTGATATAGTTTCTGATCTGATTTTTGCAATTAAAATCTCTTTGGATACTACTTCCCAGTCTGGTTAGCCAAAGATCATTTCTAGTACCTCTTTCAACTACCTGGAGACAGTACTTGTCATTACCAATCCTATCGGCTGATTCCCATGTACATTGCAAGGCAGCTGCCAACTTGACAAGAAATCAAATTAATGCTACCTGCTGATAACTAGAACTGATAACAGATAATGCTCATTTGGGAGCCATCCGCATGACTCCACTTTATCAACAGACATAGCCTCCTCCCCCACCCCCCTTCTTTTCGGCTAGCTATAGCTTCTTGATCCAACTGTGAGAATTAAGATGGACATGTTTTCTTTTGTCTGAATTTGAGAGATTACAGAATTGTTCAAGGTGGCATTTTCAATCCAAGATCATGAGTTTTCTCTGTCATAACATGTGATCATATATTGAAACATGGACTACATTCAAACTAAGTCCGAGTTTCTGAATGAGCCTTAATTAGAGTTTGATATAGGATTTGAATCTGAATGCAGGTTATCAACTTTTTTTTCTTTGAAATCAAGTTTTCTTTGAAATCAAGTTGACTCTAATCAAGCATAAGTCATAACCCTACAAGTTGTGATTATTTGCTGTAACCACTACACGATGTTCAATCTAAAATTAGTACTAGAGTGCTAAACTTGTTTGCTTGTTGAAACTATTATTGGGAAATTTCTTTCAAATTACTAATCATGTAAGTTGTCCCAATTGCTGCTCTGCAAGAGTTTAGATATACTTGTGTACCGTAAAGGGCCACGTTCCATTGAATTTCCAAGAGATGGCCACCCAATATCTGCATCAATGGTTGCAGGTCATCAAAGCAAGTGAGAGACTCCATTACATGAGATAATATATCATCAATCAACAAAAGAAAGCAAATCAAATTGGCCATTTCTCAGTCGCTCTTTGTTTCATTAATGTTTGACACCAAAAAGCAGCAAATGTAAAGCAACAAAGAGGACGGTAGGCTCGTACAAAAAGCTACGCATCTAATTTATTGGCTATATCCAGATATGCCACTTGCAATGTTTACATAAAACTTGGGAGAACATGCCTTTTGATTTGCTGGTGAAAAAAATAGGATATCTTCTGACAAAATATGAAGTCTTGTCCAATTTATAAGATTCGAAACATGGGGTACATCATCGACACAGCCCTGTTCTACAATAGGCATATATAATTGTAGATAATCCAGATTTCAGATACCATACAGTACACGTCTCTTATAACTTCTTTCATATATATATATATATATATATATATATTCTGAAATTATTAAGAAGAGAATAAACCAGTTAAGTGCAATTGGATTAGTGGCATGGTTTCAAGTCAAGCAAAGGTGCTTGGATGTCTTAAAGTCCATAATTTGAGATGAACTTCTTTAAGTAAAATTTGTGAATTTTTTAAAAATAATTATTAAATAGAATTTAATATAAAAATTAATAATATATAAAAAATTATTAAATTTTTTTTTATAATTTAAATTTGATTAATATTTATTTAATAGTAAAAAATTTATCAATATTTTAAATAAAATGTCTATATAAAATATATATAAATTTTTTTTAATTTTATACATTTGATTTATGTAACAATACTTTTTAATTTATCAATTTTAATTTTTAATTTAATTATTTTAATAAATGAGCTTCACAAATTTCATTTAAATAATTTAGTCAAAATCTTTCCGATAATTTGAATGCCGCAAGTCAACTTTTTTATGAATAACAAGGGTTATAATAATATAAAAAGAGATTATATTTGATATATTTTTAATATATAAATTTTATATATTATCAGTAAATCACATAATATTATTTTATTAATGAGTAAATATTAATATTTGAAATAAGTATAAAAAAATTAATAATTTAAAAAAAAAATTTATTCATTAATTAAATAATATCATCTTATTCACATAATTAATAAAATAACATAATCATATTCACTTTATCAAATATAAATTCATGTAAACATAGCCGGAGAAACTTGGAGAAGCCAAATTGAAAAAAAGATTCCAACAGGAAAATTAAGGTATGTTTGAATTTATTGAATAACTTTTTGGCTTTTCCAATTGGGAAAAAAAAAAAAAAAAACCTTTCATTGATTAGGAAGACGACGGTGGTGGTGAAATCAATATCTGAAAAATGAGGATAGAATTTTTGGCAGACAAGAGATTAGGGAAGAAGGGCCCATGGGTGATGATTATACGTGAGAAATAAAGGAAAACTATTGATATTGCTAAGGTTTCTTTTCTTTTGATCTTTCTAGTTTACTATTCAAATGAGATACATGTAACAATTTGTCTTTCATTTAGCATATCTTCATTTCTCAAATCAACAAAATAAATATTGTAATTTACTTGAGCAGTGGAAGTAGAAAAGGGTGAAAATATTGTTGGAAAATAATCTTGGTTGTTGGTTAATTTACTTGCAGAAAAAAAAAAGAGTGAAAACCAATCATTCATATGAACTGATATCTTGCTTCTCTATTGATTTTTGAAAGACAAAAGAAAAAAGTAAGGGTTACTTGTCCTCACTTTCTCCACACATTTTCTCAAACACCAAAAAAAAAAAAAAGGAAGCTAGAAAACAATGGCTTTTTGGAGTTGCACGGCCTTGGTCTTGGCCTTCTTAGGATAATAGTAGGTGCTGTGGAAACTTGTCAGCCATGTCTATTTCTTGTGAGTTGTGTTACTCGAAATTGTGTTACTCGAAAGAAGTTCACAGAACATCGGGGCCTTTGTTTGATTCAACAGGGAATATTTGTTCTCTAATCTTCATCTAGTTAGTGTTGGTATTGATTGTGCGTGAGTGTAATCTATGCAAGCACTATTTTCCAGCAAGTTCAATATCAAACCAAAATTACTTTAATCCAAGAAATTTGGCAACAATTCTTACAAAAAGGCGACAAAAGTTAGAAGAACACCCATAATATGCAATCCTAAAGAAGCCTAGCACTTATTCTCTGCAGAGGAGCCATTAACAATGTTCTCCATCTGTAGGGCAGGTTTTGGTTTCCTTGGCTTGTACCAAACTGCACAAATAAGATATAGCGCATAATTTATGATGCCTAGAATGGCTAGAAGTCCATAGAAGCAGTCAAGTCTACCATGGTTTATGTTATCAGCCAGCCATCCTTGCCCATCTTTACTTCCTGTCACTTTTTTCACTACTGATACCAAGAAGCTGCTGACGAAGAAACCAAGAGATAGAGTTGTGAGGAACAGACCAGTGCTCATGGTTTTCATTCCTTTGGGAGATTGAGTAATGAAGAAATCAAGCTGTCCTGTGTATATGAAGGCCTCACCAGCACCCACTAGGAAGAATTGTGGAATCAGTAAGAACACGCTTACTGGCAGGGCTGCTGTGGTTGCACCCGCAGCTCTAGCTACTGCTAGTCTTTTCTTCTCAACCACTGCTGCAGCTGCCATTCCAAAAATTGACAGGACTAGGCCTATGGAAATTCTCTGTAGGTTGGTAAAACCTGCCGTAAAAATGAAAATGGTAATTAAATACATTAAAACAATTATCATTAATTATAGCCGAATCTAGTGTCATTTATTGTCCTATACAAATACCTGGTTTTCCTTTCCATTTCTTCCAAAATGGCATAATGAGACGGTCGTAAACAGCAAGAGTGATCAATATAGCTGCCACAAAGAAGACAGTGAGGGAACCTGCAGGAATTTGGAAACCTCCAATTGATCTTTCCATGGTGGAGGCTTGCTCCACTGAAAAGGTGATCATCTGTGCATAAGTGGTCCAAAATATGATGGTTGTGGCCCATATTGGCAGAAGCCCCACCATCATTTTCACTTCCTCCACCCTTGTGACTGAGCAAAGTTTCCAGGGGTTTGGAGCAGACACAGCATATCTTTGAAAATTTCCTTCCGCAACAATAGCAGCCTTGTCCAAGAAGCTAGGATAAGATAGGAAAAATCATCAAGCAAAAATGAATTGAGTTATCGCACAATAAATTATTTAAAGTATATGTATATATTTTTGAACAATTTAAGAAGATATTTATGCCCATGTAAATACTGAAGAACTCATCGTGGATAGGAAACTCACTGGAAATGATCTGTGTGATGAATTCTTGTAGCTTTAGGTGTATCCTCGTATAATAGCTCAACATTGTAAGGGAGATCCATCTTCCTTTTATTTATTGCAGCTACAATAACTTGGAAAATCTGAACTATAGGACTTCCCAAGCTTTTCTTGTATCTGTATCTTTTAGTCCCTGTTAAAAATACCAAGATGGCTACAAACATGGAGACAGAGCAGATTCCATAAGCCCAGCTTCGACCAACTTCATCTTGTAGGTAGACTAGTACTGTGACCGCCATCAAGGTTCCAGTACTAATGAAGAAGAAGAACCTGTTGAAAAAAATAGGCCAATTGGGCTTTCTCCTTTTCGTCTTTTTCGTCAAATTGATCAGTTCCGAATCCTGAGACACTTGATTTTAGGCCACCAGTACCAAGTGCAATTAGATATAGAGCCATGTACAAAATTCCCATCTGAAAACCATTGGCTGGTTTGCATGTATGGGAATCAGATGCATGGCATGGTGGCGGGCGTAGCTGTGGCAGTTTTGTAGCTATTGCCAATGTGCCAGTCCCCTAAATCACCATGATCATCACAGTAAAAAACTGAACAGCAGAAGATTGAAATAAACATTTTTTTAATTAGCAATTCAAACTCTTTCTTTTCTTTTTATTTTTTCTTTTATGTTCTTTAGGTAGGAAGGGAGATGTTTAAACACCCACCAGTGTTTGTATAATGGCAAATATGGCAATTGTCTTGTATCTGCCAAGGAATGAATCAGCAAGAAAGCCTCCAAGCAAACACAAGAGAAAAGATGTGCCCATGAAATCTGTTACTACGTTGGCTGAAGTTGAACTTGGCAAATGCATTGTGCCAACCAAGTATGTCACAAGGTTAACTGCAATTCCCATTGTTGAAAGCCTCTCACAGATCTCAATCCCTATGAAATGGTTTCAGCAAATCAGCATATCTATTTCTATGCCAGATTTTTTTTAATTAATAAATGAAAAAATATGAATTCAAAAAAATTCATTGCTTTTCCAATTTTATCTTTCTTTTTTTTTTCCTGGGCCTTCTCTGAGAACTCAGAAGCAAAAGAAAATTATTTTATCAGCTTTCTAGTGGGGGAAAATGATTAAAAGTTTTATATCAGAAACCCTCAGAAAATGAAAAGGGAAGCAAATTCAGGATGCTAGGTCAAAATTTGATGACTAAGAAGCAGGGAGCACTTTAATTAATTAAATAAACAATAGGAAGTTGAGCCCCTTTTTTTCTGTTTTTTTTTGTAGAAAGAAGATTTGGCTTAAGAATATCTCCATAATTCAGAACTTCCATGCATGAGTGGCCCACGATAGAATGTCTTCCTTATTCCATCAAACTCCAAACAGAAAATGACATAAATTTTATCGTCATTATATGTATATCTGGATTGGAGATGGGTCCCATGTGGTTTGTCCCCCTTCACCTTCCTTCTTCTACACTCCGCTCATAACTAAAAGTGAATCACGGGGAATAAAATAAGAAACCTGGTTTGACAACTAGCAATATGTTTTTTCTATTGACTTGTGAAAGGGTGTCACGCATTAGTGCTGAATCTGCTAAACTTTCTGTTTAATTTCCTGATTAAAGATTTAGTTTAGACTTGAAAGCCCCATCACCATTGCATGAACTAACTGCTTGTTACTCTGATGGAATATCACCATCCCTTTCTCCCACCCTCTTTTCTATTTTTCTACTAAAGGTATTCTCATTTAACTGCTACTTTTACTTGTTCTAGTTGACAATAAATGATGTCACATGGAATGCTAAATGCTTGTCCGGCAAAAACCGGAAAGAGAAAATTGTGTGAAGCTGTTAGCATGATCTTTTAAGTTATGGCCACAACTCTGGATCTAGTCAAGACCTGTCAATTCTTTTTCCTCTGTATGATTTAAAGTTTATAACATATCTTATCTCAAATCAACTCAAGAAATGATGTTGAAAGAAATTCATGGTGGATGATGTAACAAACCTAGAATGAGAGCAGCAGGAATCCAGCCACCAGTTTTGGACTTGTCAGCAGGGAAACCCTTGTAGTCCATCGCATCCGCCACTGTCCAACTCATCTTCCCTTCCTGAGAGCCATGAAAAAAAATATTTCATGAAGCTTTGATCATGTTAATAACAAACCAAGAAAATGTCTTAGCAGCCATTGATAAAGCAGTATGTCTCATAATGTCATGGAATTACTCAGACTGACCATTTTCTGTAACTCAACAGCAAAAAGAGCAAAACAATGCTGAAAAAGAAAGACAGGAGAGAAGTAAGGTGTAAGAATGCCTTTGTCTTCTATGCTAATGCAAGCTTCAACCCACAACTTGGATGTCTTGGAACTAGCTTCCCCTTTTATAGGCAAGAACTGTAACAATAATGTTGAAGTTAAAGTGACTTTCCACCAAGTATTAAGACAGATTACTGCTCATGTTCTTGATATAAAGGTAGGGGACTAGGTTCATCGCTTTTTTTAGTGGAAGGTTATACCACTGATTATAACCATTTGTTTTTTTAAGCAGGTTTTTTTTAGAAAATATAGGTAATTTTAAAGGTGATGATGATTGAGGGTAGTTAAGAGATAAAATGGAATCAGGAACATGCATAACCAGTTATCACCTTCATTTGTGGTAGGATAGATAGTTTTGAGTTTGTGAAGGCTGTGAACCACAGCACCCTAGGCTTTCATAGTGCCTTTGATGCTCCACATGCCGGAAAGGCTACCCCACCCCTTTATCTTTTGTCTCTGTATATGAGAGCCAGAAACCAGTGAGATGGAAACGTTTCACTGAAGAAGAGTATAACCCTTTTTGAGATGAAAACAATATTAAAATAATCTTAGAACATAGCCAAAAAAAGAAAGCAAACATTTCCCTGAAATAGAGCCAAGAGAGAATGGGGGTTAAAAAACGTTTCACACTGACATGTAGTGTGACATTTTTGGGCATGAAAATAATGTTGCAATAGTGCACAAAGAAATATTTTCATTTTCACAACTAAGTGGTTGCTCCTTAACTGTCAATTTTGATGAAAGAAAAGGGTCTAGCCGACTTCCTTTGTAGTCAGAAGAAGATCGTAGATGTATCAATCAAGAGAAGTTACAATTGTAAGGTATATAGTAGACCCCCTTGGTAAGGCTAATGAGTTTCTTCTTTTACACATTTCTAATCAGTTTAATTAAAGGTAATATGCAGATATTAACCGAAGAAAATTCCATCCTTATCAGCTGATAAAAACAAACGTATTACAATAAGGAAAAATTCAACTGCTGCATGCATTCAATTTGTTCAAATAAAATTCTCAAAAGTAGCTAAACTTTTATCATAGCACTATAGCAGCAATCAAACAAAGAGAATTAAGCAATCTGTCGGGAGCAAAAACTAATGACGTTTCCCGAAATTACACATAACTATATGGATATTCTCAATCCAACTTCAATCTACCGTTAATTTTATCACTTAGGGGACCCCTTAAAACACTTGAATAACTTATATCAGAACCTAATCTTTCATAGAACTATAAATAAATTTGATTCATTTCATTTCATGTAAATTTCAGAACTCTTTTTAAGTTTTATATATAGGATTATATATACTAAGACCCTTTGCTGCAATTAACCTATATGATTTAGTTTTGTCAATGGGTCAAGGTTCCATAAAAAAATCACAGATAACTTTACCCACAAGTCAATTAAATGGGACTGAACAGGTCAAACGAAAGCCATTTTTTTTTTTTTTTCATTTTTGGGGTTGCTAATGAACGTTGAAACTCGGTAGTTAAGATCCCTCTCAATCAACATGAAAGTATGCTACCAGTTCTACCACTATATGAAGACATTATTGTGGATTTTTGGTCTCATTAATTGGGGAAATCCTCAAAATTAAAGTTGACAAGAATAATAATTATTGTTGGGTAGGGTCAAGAGTGTTGACAAGGAACTCATTTCAATCTCTCAAACATGTATAAATACACAAATGCTTATCGACTCCTCCACATTCACCCATGGGCCCTGCACGTGCCACAGGATATGCCGCTTCCCACGTGTGATTGAATTACGCAATGTAGCCGCACGCGTACCAACAGACAGCACTCAGAACTGATCAAACCCACCAGCCATTGCCGCCACATGGTTCATGAAAAAAGAGAGTTTCCACTTTACAAAATTATGTAAGGCCAAATGTGCCCAGAGCCGGATAATCCCTCCATGGGCCCTCATTCTCTTTCTCCCCCTTCCCTTCCGCTATCAATTCAAGGATTTTGTTAATCTCTTTTGACTTCTGTCAGGCATATGCCACAGAATCCACAGCCACCTCTATATTGTGTATCTCTTGGCTTCTTCATGGCCTACCCCTCCCTGTTTTCGGCACAAGTGTCCCTATTGGAAATGCTTCGAGTGTAAAGGAAAGTTAACATGGAATGACTTGTTCAGTTGTTCCAATTTTTTGGCATTAGGATCCTAATACTAAATTCGTTCCATCATGGCATGGGAGCAATGCATAGTCCCCTAATTATGTTGAACAATGGCCACTTAGTTCAACCTTGAATTCAAATGCAATTCCCTTTTCAATATTTTAATCAGGGCCATAACAAGTAGAACCTTTTAATAATGTCCAGAAGGGGTTATGGTAATAAACTAAACCAAATGAGTGATTCTAAATTATGTTTGATTTGAAAATTGATAAAAGAAGGATCTATCATTCTCTATCAAAGGATTTTCAATAAAGATCACCGTTATTTTCTTTGTCAGACCTGCAGTTGTGATTTATTAACAGATGGTCTATTACTAATATATATGACAGTTTCAACCAAAGTTGGTCTTTCTTCTATCTTCAATGTTCTGGTATATTTGGGCATGCTTATCAGCCATAGGACTGTGTAGATAAGAATAAGATGGTGGAACTTTAAATTGATTTCAATGATCTTCTTTGGGCCAATCAGGGCCACGACTTCTCTATCTTACAGTAAGTTAACCATAGACGGAACCATAATGTGATCAAGTGGCTGTCCTCTAATCCTGCTTACAACTTGCAAACACTGATATTAACACTATCATTCGACAATATCAAGTGATGTACATGTTCTATGATGAGTTGATTACCGAAATTATTGTTTCAGCCTTTAATTCCAATAAAATATAATAAATCCACAAGATTAATTCATAGAGAACACGGTATCCTTGGTAGAACGAAAAAAATGAAAAGATTGATAGAAGGTGAAAAGGAAAAGAAAATAAAGTTTTAGTGTGATTGGTAAGAAAAAGATGGGGCGTAATGAAAATACAAAGAACGATTTTTCATACTTATTTACAAACATAAATCATTTCAAATTGAAAAGGTTGAGAGAGAAAATAAAAGAGGGTATCTGTTGCATATATATATATATATTTTTTGAATTTATGTTGGATACGTTATTGTATACCTTATCAGTAAATTAAATTATTGTATTTCATTAATAAATAAATATTAATACTTAAAATTAATTTAGATAAATTAAAATATTTTTAAAAATTTATTTATTAATAAGATGTTATTATATAATTTATCTCATTAATAAATTATCATCACCTGATTTATTAATAGTATATTAAATATAAATATAAATTTTTTTATTTTCATTTACAAATAGTTATAATAATTTTCTTTTTTTAAAGTAAATTTTTCAACTCAACCAAAACAATGAATGAAAAAAAATATATAAATTCTTTCCTACATTTTCCATCTTTCCAATCACGCACACACATGAAAAAAATATATATTTTATATTTCCACCTTTTTCCCATTCCAATTTTTCATCTTTACATTTTTTATCCTCCCCTATCAATCAAAGCCTAAAAGAATCTATAAGGCTAAAATGAGGAATATGGTTGGTTTTTAATTAACAATGAGAGTGAAGCCCATGTTTCATCGTGGTTTTTTATTTTTATATTATTTTTTAATTTATTATTATTGTTATGAATAAATACTGTAAAAATTTATTAAAATCTGTATAATATTTGAAAAAAATTTATAAACTATCAATTCATAGATAAAATACTTAAGCATTTGAAGTTCTAAAGGTACTTCGAGAAAACCATTATTACTTGAAAAAAAAAAAAAAGGTGGATTCAACAATGAAAGTGTTCTTCATCTCTTTTTATTTGAAAAAGTTCTGACAACTAAACAGTGTAATAAAAACGATACAATTGAACATGAAATTTAATCCAAAAAATTATTGATATTAAAATTCTAGCTTTTCTATGTCTCTCACGTTTTTTTCTTTTTTTCTATCAACTATCCTTCTGCTTTTCAAACAACCTTCCACTAATTTTTTTTATTTACTTTTCTAACAAATACATGACACATATTATTTTCTATCTTCATGCAATGTCACATGATCTTAAATAATCTGTAAATATCTTTAACGGTAAAAAAAAATTCTTCACTTACTTTCTGAATAATTATCAACTGCAAAGCTTTTTTGAGAAATCATAACCCTTAGTCATTAACTAAATAATAAAAAAATAATATGATTATTTTATTATAAAGAACAGATGTCATTCTCTAAAACTTTTGAAGATACTTTTTAGTTATAGTTTATAGATAAAAGTCATATCCCAATCCCAAATCACCTTTGCTTTCCTTTTCATTCCACATGTGTAAAGCATTGCATAATAAATAATAATTGTAAATAAAATTAGATTTCCTCCCACAGCTTTGGATCAGATTTTATTAAAGTTTGTGGCATTCCAAGATGCTATCGCATTTCTTTTGTCAGCTTTGATGAGTAGATTGTAGGTAATAACGGCTCATGTTGTGTTTAGCGTGATTGGTTTATCGAAGCCATCTGAATTGCAGCCATTCATCTTTAAACCTATTTTATATTGTCATGCGTGCAACTTGTAAGCACATTTCTTTTGTTTTTACTAGTTAGTTGAATGATGATTATGTTAGGATATGATTTACATATGGATAAAAAATTTCATATAACTAAAAAATTTAAATGAGATATTTTATATATGTATAAAAAATACAAAAACTTAATAATTAAAATTTTTTTGTTCAAGTAGTATCTAACATGTATGCATGAGTTTTTTGGTATGCTCTCGTTAGTTTGAAATATGATTTATCTCTCCAACAAAGTGGTATCAAACCTAAGGTTACGACGAGTTCAAGTCCTGATAGTATTGCTGGAGGGAGATTGTTGACAGATTAGAGATTGACCGCGTCCATCAATTCTATGTGCTCAAACACTGGTATTAAAAAATTCAACTTGGATTCAGTAAGTTTATGACAATATGTAGAAGCGAAACATCCAAGTGGGCAATGTATTGAGTCAACTTAGAGTGTAAGCTTGACGGAACACTGAGACAACCTAGATAACTAGGTGGAGTGTAAGCTTGAAGGAGCACTGAGATAACCTAAGCAACCAGGTTGAATGTTGTGCCCTAGCCAAAAAGCATTCTAGAAATGTGAGATCGCCTGGCCCAAACAAGGTGTTAATATGACTTACTCATATGAAGGAGTTGAGGTGAGATTTAATTAGAACTCACATCAAATTCATGTGCTCAATGCAGGTATTAAAAATGTTCAACTTGAATGCAGCAAGTCTATGATAATTTGCAAAAGTAAAACACCCAAGTAGATGATGTGTTGAGTCAACCTAGAGTGTAAGTTTGATGGAGCATTAAGACAACCTAAGCAGCCAAGTTGAGTGCTTTGCCCTGACCTAAAAGAGATGTTGATAAGATTTACTCATACGAGGAAGTCAAAATGGGACTTGATTAGAACTCACAAGTGAACAGAAAAGATTGTTGGGATATAGTTCATACGTAAGTAAAGAATTTCACGTCATTAGAAAATCTAAATGAAATGTCTTATATATGCATGAAAGATTCAAAAACCTAATGATTTAAGCTTTTGGGCTCAAGTAATGTCTAATATGTATATATGGGCTCTCTGATGTGCTCCTATGAGCTCTAAATATGATTTATCTTCCCAACATATTATATATTAAATTTCAAATCTTGCTTGACTTAGAGAAAGTATTTGTTATTGATTTTCATAATTCCATCATTACTTATAAAAGCAAGTGAAAACCCATTGTAAACTTCTAAAATTTAAGTAGTATAATTGTAAACACTGAATTTTATCCGAATTTACCATTTTTATTTTTAATAATAATAATAATATTGATTTAATTAAAATTAACTAATAAAAAACAAAAACAGATAAAAAAAAATCGAGATGATAGTGGTGCCTTGCATGGCACCACTGGCGACCTACCCTATTACCATCACCATCCCCATTGCCATCAGGATCATTGCACCTCATTGGCCCTAATTGCCCAAAACTACCACTCATACCTCGCCAGGCGCATGCTCTACCTGTCACTGCTATTCCTAACCCTATAAAGCACCCAACCACTCCCCTTTCAGGCTCTCTCGAACACATCTCCAACTACCTCGAAACACCAAACTTCCAGACCCAAAAGCTTAAAACCATTCCTAGAAACCCAAACACTCCACCCACTAAAAAATAAAAAAACCAAAAACACCAAAAAAAAATAACAAACAACCCAGTCCTCCCCGTAAGAAAGAACCTTGATGCCAAAGCCTTGCAAACAAGCCAAAAGAACCATCATGAACTTCGTTTAACAAAAAAAAAGGGGGATCAAAACTTCAAGGCCAGATTTACGATAATCAGGCTTATTTTTGGTCAAAAAAAGACCAGATCTGAGAAGATCAGGTCGAGGAAAATTTCTAAAGGTGTTTTTTTTACGTTTTTCGACCATCGATAACCACCAACGATTACCATTGACAACAATCGATGACGACTAAACCGACGGTCGACATGATGGCACAGCACCAGAACCCGACCAAAACCAGAGAGAATTTTTAAGAGCTGGAGAACCTTTTTTTCTGAAAAAGGGGTGAAATGAACCAAAAAAAATTGACGTCGTATTAGATAGGGAGGATCCGCGCGTGCCCGTTACCTGAATCGAGATTCGTCAAATTGACCCGTCATCCCGCCTCAACCAACCTTTAGCAGGTCTAGACGAACTGTCAAGTGAATCGATTTAAATCGGTTTGAACCCTGTAACCTGAATCAACTATACCGTTTACTGGTCCAGTTCAGGTAATTTTATTTATTTATTATTATTGTTATTATTTTATTTTATTTTCTATATATTATTTATGTTATTTTCAACTTTATTATTGTTATTTACACATGCTTTAAAAACTTTAAAAATTATTAGAGTAAATATTTCTTGTTTATAATAATAATGATTAAATAACAACAATAATAATAATTTTTAAAAAAAAAACTTTAAATTTTTTTTAATAACCCAGGTATGAAATAAAGAATAATAAAATATGTATAAAATGATAAGAAAACAAAGAAAAAAAATTTTTTTCCTGCCTAAATGTTAGAGGGAAAACAATCTGCTTTAAATAATGACAATTCTACCTAGATATTGAAAAATTATTGTAAAATATATATATATTAAAACTAAAAAAAATTAATATTAACTCTTTATAATAAAAATTTTATTTTTTAAAAATTACAAAAATCGAATTTGATTCAAAAGTTCGCCTAAATGTTAAAAATTTTTAGAGATGTTCACGTTTTTTTTAAAACCCTTTCAAACCTTAAAATAAAAAACCTAACCCCCAAACTCAAAATCCAAACCTCAAACCTCTGAACCTTAAGATGAAACCCTAAAATCCAAATCCTTAAAATCAAAAACCTAACCCCCAAACTCAAAATCCAAACCCTAAACTTTCGAACATTAAAACGAAATCCTAACTTTCCAAACCCTAAAATTCAAGCCCAAAATTCTCTAAACCCTAAAATCAAACCTTAAAACCTTTGAAACTCAAACCAAAACTCCAAAATCCCAAACTCTAAAATCCTAAACCTTAAAATCCAAAAACCTTAAATCCAAAATTTTAAAAACCCTAAATTTGGTACACGATTCCAAATTGTTAAAAAAAAAAAATCATCAAAAAGTCACCAAACCTTAAAAACTTATTCATGCCCTAAATCTATTCCAAAACTTTAAGGATACGCGTAAAAATCTCACATGAAATTACTTGTTCTCGAATACCACCTAGATGATGGGATATTTAGGAAACTTTATTTCATTAAGTTTTTCATACAAATTCTTAATTCACATTAATAATGAATAAAAAGTATAATAGTAAATTGGGATCTTAAATATAAACAGTCGCACCTAAGTTTTGCCTAGATGTTGAAAAGTCGGGGTGGTTTCATTATACTTAAGAGTCCAATTTTAAAATTACATTTCATTTTACATAACATTCATTAGCATACATACATTAGCATGTTATCGTTGGCAATTATTTGCATTCTTCTGTCTTTAATTTTTATTTACTACTTGATGATAAAATTAAAATGTTTATTAATAAAAAAATGACTATATATTTTTTAAAATTTGTGATATTATAATATAAAACAAAAATAACATTCCGAAGAAAATAATTCTTAGCACTCTACCTAGATGTTGGAGAGTCACTAACAATTATTTTTTATAAAGAGTGTTATTTTATTTTAAGATTGTTGTGTTAAATCTTAAACAAAAAGAGTTATTTTAAATTTTTTCTAGATGTTAAAAATTTTAATATGATTTTTAAACTTAAAGATTTTTTCAATATTCTTAAATAAAGAGTTTTAGCATAATTTTATTTTTAAACGAAAGGGATTATTATTAAATTTCAAATTAAATCTATTTCATCCAATACTGAAAATAGCGTATAATTAATTGATATCAATTTATGGGTATTATAAGGGTGTTAATTCTTCCTCACATGTAACCGACTCCTGAACTTAATCTAATTTTTGTAAATTAAAATTTATTTTTTTGATAAATTTTAAATATGCTTTTATAGTTTTATTAAAAAGATAAATTTTTAAGTGATCAATCACACCTTAAAAAAATTGATAATAACTCTTCATTTTTTTTTATTTTAAAAATTTTTTACGTCTAATAATCTTATAATCATTACAACAATAATTAGACAAATCCCTCTTGCTAAAGATGAGGAGGTGCAAGGAAATCTTATTTAGAAAAATATAGTTAGCATTTCTAGCTGGCCCTATGTTCGATTACTCACGAGAGTATCTTTAATGTCAACTTTTTTTTTTTAATTGCAATAAAAGTATTCCAATCTTTGCTTAATTTCCTCTTAATCCAAAATTTTTATTTATTTATGCATTTTTGGTTCATAAAAAGGTAAAACCCTTACAAGAAAAAAAAAAACGATGTAATTAAAATCTACAATCACATGCCTTCGTGAAAACCTCTTAATCACTAGATCAAGAGGTGTAAAGCTTTTATGTATAATGTAACACTTTGTCAAACTACTTACTGTTGGATAAAATTAAAAAAAAAAAAAAAGCATTTTTGATATAAATATTTTCGGAATTTAAGTTTTTTATATAATAAGTCCAACTTAAAATGTGTAGTCTAAGTTGTATTCTAACATTAGCCCTTCTATCACCATGCCTATACTGATAAAAATAATTTAGGAATTAATCTGAATGTTGATTATAACAAAATGCTGAACAAAACTTCATTTTGAAAACATTTATATTTGGCTGGAATGATAAAGTTAATGAAAATTAAGTAAATTTTTTTATTTCAAATCTTAATACTCTTTAAAGAAAATCATAAGTTTCCATTAACAATTAGTTCTAATTTACTAAAGTTTTTAAACAACTATCAAATAACTCAATGACCAATTTTATGATGTTTACAAAACTACTTTTTAAAATATATATATTTTTACAACACGGATTATAATCAACTAATTTATATGAAAAAAAAAAAAGTGGAAATTTAAACACAAATCTCTTCAAAATTTCCATAGCAAAAAATCATAAATGGTTCCTTTAAAAAAAAACCTTAGTAGGCCAAGCCCACTTCTTTGGGATATTGGTCAGCCCATACAACTTTTTAGTTTCTGGTTTTTGGCTAGGTGGCATTCTTCAATCGCTCAGGTTCTGATATCAAGTTTTATTACAAAAAGAAAAAAACGAAAAACAAGAGGGTTTTAGAAGGGTTTAAGGTGTAACTTCAATTTTCTTTTCATTTCAATCACTGTCTCTTATGAAACTCTCATGATTGCCCGCCAATTTCATTATATCACCAAGCAACGGTCAACAATTTTAAGAAACTTGATCTCATCTAAACATGTTCACCAGTTACTCGACGAAAGTCCTTACTCAAACCCAACCTCCCTTTCCGCTGTTAATCACTCTCTGCCCACTTTTTTGCGTGTAAATCTCCCCTTTGACGCCTTCAAAAAGCTCAAAGAACTCCTTAAATCAGGCCGATTTGATGCCATTGATGAAGTTACGGTGGCTCTGGCTCTCAAGGATTCTTGCGGAAATTCAAAGCAGGGGACTCAGGTTCACAAATTTGCTATCACCTCTGGGCTCATGTCCTTTATTACGGTTCCAAATTCATTAATGAATATGTACTCTAAATCTGGGCAGTTTCATAAGGCTTTTTGTATCTTTGAGGGCTTAAATAATCCCGATATTGTTTCGTGGAATACTCTGCTTTCGGGGTTTCAAAACAGTGAAGAAGCGTTGAATTTTGTTCTGAGGATGAATTTGAATGGCGTTGCTTTTGATGCAATAACTTGTACCACAGCTCTTTCTTTCTGTTTGGACCTTGAAGGCTTTTTTTTGGGGTTGCAGTTGCATACTCTTGTGATGAAGTCTGGATTGGATTGTGAGGTCTTTGTGGGAAACGCGCTTATAACTATGTATTCAAGGTGGAAGCGTTTGGGGGAAGCTCAGAGGGTATTCGATGAGATGCAGAATAGAGATTTAGTTTCGTGGAATGCAATGCTTTCAGGGTATAGCCAGGAGAGTAGTTATGGGTTGGAAGCAATTTGGGTGTTTATTGAAATGGTGAGAAAAGGGATGAAGCTTGACAATGTATCATTTACTGGTGTGGTTTCATCTTGTAGCCATCAGAGGAACTTAGACGTTGGAAAACAAATTCATGGTTTGTGTATAAAAAGAGGCTATGGTACACATGTATCTGTTGGTAATGTTTTGATGTCATTGTATGCAAAGTGTGAGCTTATTGAAGATGCAAAATTGGTATTTGAAAGAATGAATGAGCGTAACGTGATCTCATGGACCACAATGATTTCCATTGATGAAAAGGATGCTGTATGCCTCTTTAATGAAATGAGATTGGATGATGTTTATCCAAATGATGTTACATTCGTTGGATTGATCCATGCCATAACCACTAGGAAATTAGTGGAAGAAGGTCAAATGGTTCATGCGTGTTGTTTAAAGGGTAACTTTTTGTCAGAATCAAATGTTTGCAATAGCCTTATTACCATGTATGCTAAGTTTGAGTTGGTACAAGACTCTATTAAGGTTTTTGAGGAACTTGAATGCAGAGAGATTGTCTCATGGAATGCTTTAATATCCGGCTATGCTCAAAATGGAAAGTGCCTGGAAGCTTTGAGGAAATTTCTATCAGCAGTTACGGAATGTAAGCCAAATGAATACACCTTCGGTAGTGTCTTGAACGCAATTGGCTCTGCTGAAGATATATCTCTAAAACATGGTCAACAGTGCCACTCGCATTTACTAAAGGTTGGATTCAATACTCATCCAATAGTGTCCAATGCTCTCCTCGATATGTATGCAAAGCGCGGGAATATTTCTGAGTCTCGAAAGGTTTTCAGTGAGATTCCTCAGAGGAGCCAGTTTGCTTGGACATCAATTATATCCGCCCATGCAAGGCATGGAGACTATGATTCAGTGATGACTTCATTCAAAGATATGAAAGGGGACGGAGTCAAACCGGACTCAATCACCTTTCTTTCCGTACTAACAGCTTGTGGCAGAAATGGAATGGTTGATATGGGTCGACAGCTCTTTGACTCAATGCTGACAGAATATCAGATTGAACCATCCCCAGAGCATTATTCTTGTATGGTAGATTTGTTGGGCCGTGCAGGTAGATTGAAGGAGGCAGAGAAACTGATGGGTTGTAGTCCAGGAGGGCCAGGATTGTCTATGCTGCAAAGCTTGCTGGGGGCTTGCACGATACATGGAAATGTAGAGATGGGTGAGAGGGTAGCTGATGCTTTGATGGAGATGGAGCCCAGTGAGTCGGGTCCATATGTGTTGATGTCAAACTTGTATGCTGAGATGGGACATTGGGAGAAGGTAGCGAAACTAAGGAAAAGGATGAGACAGAGGGGAGTGAGGAAGGAAGTGGGGTTTAGTTGGGTGGATGTCGGTGACATCAACAGCTCTTTGTCTTTGCATGGGTTCTCATCAGGTGACAAGTCCCATCCGCAGTCAGAGGAGATTTGCAAAATGGCAGAATGCCTGGGATTAGAAATGAAACTTTTGAGAGAGAAGGGCAGACAGGAAGATATGGTAATAAAAGCATAACAAGTGAGCCATTGGGGATTCCTATTGTACTTGTAGTAGTTCAAAATATTGATTCTACTTCTATTTTTCTTTGAAGAGATTATTTGGGAGGGTTATTTATTTGCATGTTAAGCAGCTTCAGAGGCCGAAATGGCCAAAACATGTAATCTAGATCTAGCATAAAAACGGAATACAGAAAATGTAACATTTCTTTACTTGGATGTTATCAATTCACTTCTGCTTCATTTAACTCTCTTCCACCTCCACCTTACAACTGAATGGAAACTAGAAATAGGAAATATAGGCTTCGCTCAGCCTCAGACATCCCAAAACATATTAACAGGTTACAGTAGGAAAAAATTTCGCGTGAGCGGCAGGATTCGAACCTGCGCGGGCAGAGCCCACATGATTTCTAGTCATGCCCGATAACCACTCCGGCACGCCCACTGGACATTGGAGAGCCAAGTTATATAAATTATTGCCTATGACAATGAAAATTCAGCCAACGTAGAGACCAGAAAGCTAAAAATCGTGGTCTCCCGTTTCACACTCATCTCTCCTTTGTTACTTCCCGACTTCATGTTGTAAATTCTTATCCCTAATTTGAGAAAGAGATGTTTGACGGGCAGTATTCAAAGACTGGACTGGAATTGGCCTATAACCAATCAAAAGAACTGATCTGAGAACCCCAACCAGATCTGATCTCTTAAAAGCAGCCAAAAAACATGTAAATCAACAATTTTGGAGTTTTTATCCAAAGATTCGCTTTCCTTTAGGCATCCAAATTTAAATGGATGAATCAGTTTAAAAAAACATATATCCGAACAAATAACAGAGTAATCAAAGCAAAGCAAAGGCCAATTTTTAATCAACGAAAATATAAAGCATCCATTAAAATTCCACCGATTTACATCAACATTTGCTCAGAAAGCAAATTCCACAAATGATACCAAAACCTCAGATTTCCACTAATTTTAGACATTAATCAACTAAAAACAAACAATCTAAGCTCTCTCTCCTCTGATCCTCCTAGCAAGCTGAATATCCTTAGGCATGATGGTAACCCTCTTAGCATGAATGGCACAGAGATTAGTATCCTCAAACAGACCGACGAGATAAGCCTCAGCAGCTTCTTGAAGAGCGGCGACAGCGCTGCTTTGGAACCTCAAGTCAGTCTTGAAATCCTGAGCGATTTCTCTCACCAGCCTCTGGAACGGAAGCTTCCTGATCAAAAGTTCAGTGCTCTTCTGGTACTTCCTGATTTCTCTCAGCGCAACAGTTCCTGGCCTGAAACGGTGAGGCTTCTTCACTCCTCCGGTTGCCGGAGCTGATTTGCGAGCAGCCTTTGTAGCTAGCTGCTTACGTGGAGCTTTGCCACCGGTTGATTTCCTAGCTGTTTGCTTGGTACGAGCCATCGGTAGGATAACTTGATTACGGTCAAAACTGTACAGCTAGCAAGAAAGTAGAAAGAACTTAAAGAGGAAGTTTTGATTGAGAAATGGGCAGGATTTGGGGGGTATATAAAGGGGGAATTTAGGAGAAGCGGGAAAAAGTGAAATTTTTGTCCTTCTTAGGAAATATTTTAATGGGAGAATATGAACCGTAGATTGGATGGGTTATCGACGACTGTTAAGTTGTTGAAGTCCTGATCCATGTGCTATTACAAATGACCAATAGGATTCGTTCTTTTAAGCGGCATTATTTTAAAGTTTTGGGCTTTGGGCACCTTTCAATTTTCGTTGATGATTGTTAGAGAGGATCTAGGCCGTCTATGGGCTGGATTATCGACGGATATTATCTAGTTGAAAAGACCAGCAACAGATAGCAATCCGTGGGATCTTCAAGCAGCCAATGGGATTTATCCATCGCTCTTCACATAATTTACTAGTATAAATTTTGTAAATTTTGTCTCAAATTACTAATATATTACTGAATTTATTTTCAGAATGAATAATAATACCTTATAACACGTAATAAAAAGCTGTAATAAGAAGTTTAATTATTTTTCTTTTCATATTATATGTTTTTCTTATAGCGTTATTCAAATGATTATGTTGTAATACATAATGCAATGTTGTAAATAAAAAGTTTTATCACTTTTGTTTCATATTACATACTTTAATTGTTATATGTTACCAAATTTATTATAAAAGTAATTAACAAATGTTTTGTAATAAAAAACCCTTATCAAATTTTGTTTTGTAATGGTGCTAAGTCTTTTCCTTTTGAAAAAAAAAAATCTCTAAACTTTGGTATAACATTATTAAATATTATATTACAATTAATTTTTGTTCTCTGAAATTTAAAAAAGGTTGGGATAAAAATTAATATTATAATATTATAAAAATTTTATCAATGATATTTTTTGTTTCTTAACTGAAGGGAGCTGGTAAGAGATCATTCGAAATTGGATGGCCTGAACTGTAGCCATGAAGTACAGTAAATAGATGTTAAAGTTGTTCTTTCGGGATGTGTTTCCACCTTTAAATCAATAAAATATATGAAATAATGTGAGAAAAAAAAAAGGTGCGTGTGAAAAGCTACAATAGAGGAGAAATAAAGCTAAGTGAAAAGCATGAGGATTATGTCTTATACCTCTTCTTTATCTTATATATAAGATAATGAATAATAATTTTATTTGAATAATTAATAATTGATAAGAAATATACATAAACTTTGATAAGAGTTCTTGTAAGTGGTTTAAAATCATATTTGATAATTTTAAACAAATGTGAATTATATTTAATAATTACAAATAAATTAAAAGTCAAATATTTAGGTATGAAATAATGTCTTAATGAAATAGCAATGAAATATTGAAATAACCTTTTCCTTGAGGGGGGGAGTTAGTTCCTTAGATAAATATGACGTGATAGCTAAGTGTGATTATCTAAATGATTTAGAGAGTTGATTGGATTGACAAAAACTTGACCAAGTAAATAAACATAACAAATTTAAATGTCGTAATATTATCTCATCATTAAATAAAATAATTTTTATCTTTCTTTGTATTATTGCTGTTTAAAAAAATTATAGTTTATTAGATGATTATTTAATAATATAATAGTTTATTATATAAATATAATTGATTATGAGTAGGGATGGCAGCAGGGCGGGGCGGGTCGGATTTTTGCTTTCCCCGCCTCCGACCCGAAGCCTTAGTGTTTCTACCCGATACCCGATCCGTTCTCGTTCGGAGGTTTTAGTGAAAAATCTGACTCCGACCCGTTACAAATATTATTTACCCGAATAAAACCCGACCCGACCCATTACAAATATTATTTACATTGCAGGGATTTTTCAAATTTTTTTTGTTCTTAAAGAAAAAGAAACCCGAAAAGATTTCTGGAAAACCTACAATCGTAACTAAGGTTTTCCGATTCTGCAGGGCATTACTTTGTTCTTGAAAAGTTACAAAACTAATTTTTAAAACATAACTTTTTTCAACTCCCTCAGAGACGCAAAAAGTTTATCCAAAACCCCTCCCATGGTTTGCAAGCACATGGTTTGCAACAGAACATGGTTTCGAAAACAGCACATGGTTTGTAACAAAACATGGTTTGCAAGTTGCAACAGAACATGAACCAGAACAACCGGTTAGCAGAGTTTCAACTTTGTCTGAAATCGAAATTGAAACTATCCAAGTCTCTGTAAAAACTCAACATGCTCGACATAACATTAACAGTAGAGGGTAAGGAGATGATTTTGGCTTACCTCAAAACTGCTGTCTGTTGGTATCCTGGCACTGTGGAGATTACAAATGGTTGCAACTCGTCTGTCTTTCTGTCCTGTTAACTTTACTCTTTCTAGTTTGATGGCTTTTTTTGTTGAAATAGAGGAAAGATTCAAAGGAAGAAAGCTAAATAGATGGAAGTTAAATGGATGAAAACAGGTGGGATGGCTGGAATTTGATAGGTGGATGAGAAATTTTGAACAAATCGAAGAGATGAGAAGGATAGGACGGACGAAAAACAAAAACATTGAAAGCAATCGAAACTCAGAAACCCAAAAAAAAAATTACATATATATATGAAGGAATTTTAGTAAATATCTCGGGTCGGGTCGGTTCGGGTTTCATATAAATCCGATCCCGACCCGAAACCGAAATTTCAAAAATTAAATTCGACCCGACCCGAAACCCGTTTTTTAAGAAAAAAACCCGACTTTAAATTATCGGGTCGGATCGGAACCCAACGGATTCGGGTAAATTTACCGACCCTAATTATGAGTGTAACTTAAAAAATAAATAATATCTTCAAAAAAAATATAATGAATGAAGGGCGGATAGACAGGAAGTTTTTTCTTTTCGGGTTAATTAATAAAAGGGCACGAAGGATGGGCAGATGAAACTACATTTGTTTGGTTGGAGTAGCCCCAACTACTTAAACAAAAATAGGATTTAAAAATGGTTTCAATAAAATTTTAATATATTAACTTCATTTGCTAGGCTAACCACGTCAGTTAAACCAAAAATTTGCTTCACAAATGAAAAACTCTGCCAAAGGTAAATATTTAACTACTGTGAGGAGAGCAGTCCGGTAAATAATTAAACTGCTGAGTTTAACCACGAGTGACTTGATTCTATATATAGAAACTAATGTCGCAAAATCTTTTTAAGCTTGGTATATTTCAAATGAATCTCCCTGAAGATGGTGAAAATGTTTTAGTCATACAAGGATATTAGAAACAAAAATGCTGCTTGATGCAATCCATTATCAAGGCATAGCTACTACCAAGATTAGCATTTTATGGTAGAAATAAAAAAAATTTTGAGGATGAAAGGCTTAACGATATGCTAACTTTTCAAATTGAAGACTGCTCTGTCAGTTAATTTAACTTTTTAAAATAACTCCATTAACATCAAAATGGGTGGTGCAGATGCCATTTCGATCCAGACAATATTCTGGACATACGCACTCTCTATATATAGAATCTTCCATTAAACAATACGTCAATACCACGAAAATTTTCGTATGTGGTCTTAATGCTCTCTAATCATGATCTGTGAACCTTAACTATGAAATTGCAAAAGATTTTTGCCATGTCATGAGTATTGTCCAATACAGAGTGCAGTTGTGTGTTTGCTCAGCACATAAAGCAGACAGCCCAATGTGAAAAGTGTGGCCTTCTTCATTCGGTCTGCCACCTGCATCACAACAGCACATTGTTAGCCAGCCTACTAAGATGATGGAAAAGTTATCCTTCTCAACACCTTCATCAGCATCAAACATGTAAATCAATGCAAGCAGTGACAACAGGTATTGATTGATATCCGGATGACACCTGCTCAAGTGACAGAACCATTCACAACCCATAGGAATCTCTCCATTATGAACTAAACAGTACTCTCAAATTAGATCCAAAAATAAATATGCATTACATACATATACATATCTATATATATATATACGTATATACATATATGCTTTCTTGCAGATGATATCCAATTCATTTATTAGATTTATCAATAATGAAAATTCCCACCTCACCTACTCCAAAAATTGACACTGGGCGGTAAATCTCAAGTAGAAAGTAAGCTAAGCTCCTGGCACCTCATATAAACCCACAGGTAATTTAATTGAGTTCAAAATTGTGGCTAAGACAGTAAATATTCTTATTTAGAGGGATCAATGAAATGATAAAATCAGATGCTACAAATGGAAAGATACCATTGTCACATGATCAAACAACATCCTAATTCTAAAATCAAACAAAAATAATAAAGTGTATAGGCTTGAATAGGGACACACGATAGAAGGAGTTTCAACGAAGATGAGTATTGCCATGACTATGTTTCATGGTAGCTTAATGTGTGTCCCAGGCTTTACGAATCCTAAGGCTGAATCAGTCAGCTTGATAGCTTGAGTTCCTGGGGTAGGTAGTTTATTTTATATGTATTCTCCTACTTTTCTCTATTTTTGTGTTGTTTACCTTTTTCCCCTTTTTTAGCTATGTTAGACAAAAGGCTAGCTTTGCAATAAAAGTAAAATGATGAGGCATTATTTCGAATAGTTGGAAAAGTCCCAAGACCTCCTAGTAACAACTAACAAACATAAGTCTATAACATGTACTAGCAAGAGTTAGTACAGATTTAAGAAAAAAAAAAAAAAAGAAATTTGCTTCAACTCTCACTGAACTTCATTTAATTTTAATCATCATCAAAGTTAACAGCATACACTCTTGTTCTACTTAAGGCACAAATACATCATTCAGACAGATAAGGTTGCTTTCGGAAATCAATATCAATATGCATAACAAACTATCAAACTAGATACTTTGGACCCAGATTTTGAATATCTGCATTTGTATAGCAAATAGACAGGTCATAATCGCATTTATTACTCTTTAGTTAAATTAATGTCCCATGGAAGACTCATGCTTAGGGTCACAATTATTGTCTTAGAGTAACATCCAAACGAACAAACAGCCAAACATCGTTCAAAATCTTAAAACTAAAAGATACTAATAGCTTAAAAGAACAAAAAATACAGGAACATTTAAAAGACCTCAATGGAAGCATTAAGCTGCCGACTGAAACTTCTGCAACAAATCACAATGTGGTGTCTCACGAATAAAACCCCATTGCTGCCGCTGCAGCTCAAACCTACAATTCTGTGCCAAAACCGAATAATAATCTCTCTCAACACGCTCCTCGATCTTTGTACGCTCAGGACTATAAACCGGATAATCCTGCTCAAATTTCGTCGACCTCACATAATAGGTCACACCCTTCTGCGTTGTGAACTTGTATTCATAAGGATACGACCTGGATAGTGAAAAAACAGGCTCATTAGACGGTAAAAAGCTGAACAAGAGAATTAACAGAACCGGTAACAACTGAATCAGCATCCGAATATTGAATCCAGTAGAGCCATGATCCCCCATTCTAGCTCCCATTCCAGGCCCAAAATTGAAACTTCGAAATTGGGTAGTTGCAGGAGGCATTCCACCAAAGAAAAAGTTCCTAAATATCTCATCCGCATCGAACTCAGTATCACAAAAACCATTAAATCCATTGCCTCCACCACGATAAGCTGAAGCTCTCCTTTCATAAACAGGTTCATCAGATCCAACAAGATCATATGTTTTCCTACTTTCTTCATTGCTTAGGCACTGAAACGCTTTCGAAACTGCCTTAAACGCTTCCTCAGAGCCAGGAGCTTTGTTCTTATCAGGATGAACTTTCAAGGACAGTTTTCGATAAGCTTTGCGAACATCTTCAACGGAACACGTTTTCTCTAACCCCAAAATTTCATAATAATCCTTCTTTTTCTTGATTTGTTTCACGATTGTGATTTGCTCTTCGGCGTAGGTGGCCGCAGCTGCTATCGGAGAAGAGGCAGATGACCCATTTGATGGATTCCTTTGGCGAATTGAGGGTTGATCGGGCGGCTTAGATGGAGAAGAACCGAAAGGATCTTTGGTGGACCCCGGAGATTCGGGTGCAGGCCGACCGTCGGATTCTCTTTCGGCTGCTGCTGCTAAGAGATTGTCGATGGGAAGTGTTGGGTCTAGGCGACGAGCTTTTGTGAGGAATTTGAACGCACGGGCACGATCTCCGGCGTCCAACGCTTCTTTTCCGATTTTCAAGCATTTCAAGGCATCATCTTTGTTGCCATCCATCTTTGAATTAAAAAAAAAGCAAGAGACAATTGAAGGTGAAAATTTGGGGAAAATCTCGCCCTAGAAAAACTAGGGAGTGAAAAGGGAAAACGGCTATGAGCTAATTAGGGTTCATGTGCTGATTTGGGCTGATTGCAACGAAATTAGGGTTTCACGAAATGGAGGAAGACGAGGACAGAGGTTGACAGAGAAATAGTTTCCGTGAAAATTTAGTTGGTTGCTTCCTCGAATTTGTGCGTGAAACAAATTGGGTGACCCACGGGTTTGACCGATCTCTTTGGAAGATAACAAGGGTAAATATGGAAATTAAGCTGTACCTTTTTGATAGGATGGTACTAGTAGTCTAATGAGAATCCAATCTTGTGCGTTTATTTATTTATTTATTTTATTATTATTATTATTATTAAAATCATATTAATTAAAAAAGGTTTCTAAACAAAATTTAATTAAATTTGTATGTTTTGCTAATAAAAAAATTTAGGTGTTTGAAAAAATATATGTTATACAACCCATTTAAATTTTAATATTTATAATTTTTTTATTTTTATACTATATTTTTTATAAAATAGTAATATGCTACGGTACAAATTTCCTAATACAAACTTTCCTAAAACGATTTATATGAAAATTAAGGTAATCTTAATTTCATTTTTATTCTAACTGCAAATTTATTCAAAATCTTATCAAAATTGTTGTACACAAATTGTAAATTTAAAAATTTTTCAAATTTAGAAATCACAAGCTTTACCTTTTTAATGGAATATTATATATTTGAAGGACAACTTTCCAAGAATTTCTAATTAAAATTTATTATATTTAAGATAAAATTATTATTATAAATATAATTTAAAAGAGATTTTTTAATAAACCAATTTTATTTATAAGAAAAAGTCAATAATGACATCCAAAAGAAAATAATTAATATTAATAGAGGTTCTTAACTTTACTTCAAATTTTATTTTGATATTTAATTTTTAAAAAATTTTAATTGAATATTTAATCATTTAAAGATATCATAATTTAATTATTTTATTTATGAAATTATTTAAATTAATAATAAATACTAATTGAGGTATATGGATGGTATCAGCTGATATCTCATGTGATAAATAAAATGATTAAAATAGAATTTTACTCAAAATTTGAATATTAGAGATGTTATTATCTTTTTTTTTTTTCAAATATAATTTTATAAAATATTAAAATTGTATAATGTTTTTTTATATTTTTATTGTAATATAATTTATTAGTTAAATATTTTAATAAGAAACAGATATTTAAAAATTAAAATTAAGTTAAAAAGTTTAAAATCTTTTTTGAAAAATTTTTATATCAATTTAAAAATAAATGACTATTTTATATTAAAATTATTATTTTATTAATAAGTCCTAATAAAAATATTGTTTTCTATCCAAAAAATTTATTTTCTTTTAAAATGCTAAATATCTTTAATTTTACTTTTCTAATATATTTATAAAATATATTTTATAAAGAAGAAAAAGGAAAAAAATAAAAATAATTAAAGAAAAAACTTGATTTTTACATTTCATATATATTTTATAAAATATTATAATTTAAAATAATTTTTATTTTTATTAAGTTATTATTTATTAGTAAAATACTGTTTTTAATGAAAAACATTTTTTTAAGAATTAAAATTTAGTTAAAATTTTGAAAATCCCTTTAAAATTTTATATATCATTTTAAAAAATTAAATAAAAATCTTCATATCATTAAAATATATAACTTAAAATTTCCATATCATTTTAAAAAATAATTTTACTAATCTAATAAAAATATATTTCAAATATATTTTTATTAAAAATTTCATATTTATAAAAAATAGTGTTTTCAATAATACAAATTTTCTTCTTAACAAATCAAAAGTGATAAGGATTATTTTAATTGTATATTTTTTAAAATTTTTATAAATATAAAATTTTAATAAATAATATAAAATGATTTGAAAATTCTTACTTAATATTTGAAAAAGATATGAAGTTTTTTTATTTAATTTTATAAATTGATATAAAATTTTTTATTTAATTTTTTAAAATGATATGGGATTTTTTAAAAAAGAATTTTGAAATTTCAACTTAAATTAATATTTGAAAATCTATTAAAAACAAAAGATATTTAACAAATAAATAAATTATAATAAAAAATATAAAAATATTATTTAAATTTAATATTTTATAAAATATATTCAAAACATAAAAATTTGAAATAGTTGCCTCTTTATTTCTTAAATTTTGAATGAAATTTTATTTTAGCCTCTCTATTAGTCAATATATCATGTGAGATTGTACCATTTATGTGACACTAATTAGCATTTATTATAAATTTAAACCATTTTATAAATGAAATGATTAAAATATAATAACTTTAAGTAATTGGAATTTTATTAAAATTTTTTAAAAATTAAACTAGAATTTGATTCAAAATTTAAAAATTTTGAGTGCTGTTTACTTGAAGGAAAAAGACAGAGGTGGATTTTCTATCGGGCTTCGGCTAATAAAATGGCTGTTTTCTAATTGAAGCTTAGACCCAAAATACTTCGATAATTGATAGGCGCTTGTCTCGACTGGTTTTGCGCTTTCGGCATTAGGTTTTGAAAAGCCAGACCGAAGCAAAGCTTAGCAATTAGCACCAGTCAGCAAGCAAAGCAAGATGGAGAGCCAGAAACCTTTTCAAGTAGACGTGGGACATCTCTTGGCTTTTAACCCTTTTCATAACTTCCCGTCCCTTCCCACTTCTAGGTTTACCTCTTTTTTCCTTTATAATTCTATTTTTAATAGTAAGTTACCTCAAAGAAATTTCCTTTCTCTCTCTCTCTCTTCTGATTTTATGGATGTTATGTCATATGGGTTTTTTTGGTTTTCTCTTTTGGGTGATTTTTTCGTTAGAATCATGAGAAATGTCTGGGGCAAAGGAGGTTTGAAGCTATAAATTCAATTAAACGAACATACTTCAGAATTTGGATACTTTGTTTTCTTCAAGGCTAGTTAAGTTAGTCTTTTTCAAAGCTCAGACTGCCCTTTGTTTATTTGCTTAGTTGGTTTGTGAAGAAGTTGTTCTTTATTGGCATTTTTGTTCCTTTGTTGATCTTCTGTCTGCTTCCCTATGTGCTTAGGGATGAGCTAGTAAAGGAATGTTTAGAGGAGGGTACTAAGTTAGTTCAAGCAGTTGCAGATACTCTTTTTAATTTACCTTCAACTGAAGATGTAGATGGGCCGCTTGTTAAGCTGCCTCCCCCAACAACAAAACTTCCAAGGGAGAAGCACGTAAGCCTAACCTTTTACTTTAATTCTTTTTAGAGTTGACTTTTTGTACTACTGTAAGTAAGGAATAACTATATCCTAGCAAAAGAATCTGAATTGTATTTAGTTACTTATTCATTTGCATTCACAAATCTAGTTCGTAAAGTGCCATAAACCTGAAATGCTTTCCTGTGGTTGTGTTTGCAGCTTCCAAAGCCTAAACCTCCTACAAAATGGGAGGAGTTTGCTAAAAAGAAAGGTAATTCAGTTTACCTATCATCTGAAGTTTACATGGCTATTTTAGAATTTTGAGTTAAATCTCATTTCCCTTGTCTGAAGAATCTTTTTTGCCTGTTATCTTTTGAAATATCTTGTAGGTATAAAGAAACGTAAAAAGGACAAAGTCATATGGGATGAACAGACTGGTACATGGAAACGTCGCTTTGGTTATGATTGTGTCAATGATGATAAAGACATACCCATCATTGAGGCCAAGATGACTGATGGTGAGTATCAAATGGAGTGTTTCCTTAGAGAAGAGCCACCTAATGTTATCTATGTTTGACTTTTTGGAAAATACAATGTAAATGCCCTTGTAGGTAATAAATATATTACATATTGAGAAATAGATAGGCATTTACTTTATAAGTTTACAAATATCAAAAGGACATAGTGGACTAATTTGATTTCGTTGATCATGATTGTTGCTTTTGGCAGAGCCAGGAGAGGATCCTTTTGCTATAAGACAAGATGATAAGAAGAAACGAGTTGAGAAGCAAGAGAAGAATCGCCTACAGAACTTAAACAAGCTGCAAAAGTTGGTGTTTTGCCAAGGTTATTTTCAAGAAGTAGAGATAATTCATTTTTTTCTTTTTATATCTTAATCATATTTGACACAGTATTGGTATAAGTCTCTTAGCCTTATTCTTCATTTAACGTTATTAGTCTTACTCTAACATGTAATTCCTATTCTTTGATGGAATTCCCTTATACCTCAACATATATAACATTTTAGTAGTTTAAGGGTTAACCTATGATTGCAGACCATGTTTATAGGAATTTCTGTTAGACGTCGATGACTCAATGGGTTGCTTGATGTCAACTTTTATTTCTTTTCTATAGGCATAATTTCTCTGTCTAAACTAATCTGGTTCTTCATGAGAATGTTCTGACACATTATTCTAGTAAACTAGATTTTTGGTTGAGTTTTATCGCTCCTTTTCTGGTTTCTTATAACTTCCTAGAGGATACACTTCTGATTGTTTCCATAATCTATACTCTTTTTTTACCGCTGGTTTTAGAGTTTGGCTAGTTGTTACATTTTTGTTGAGTTGATTTTAACTTAAATGGTTTGCTGCAGCCATGTTCAGCTTGCTGCTACAGCTCTGCCTATAACGGGAACCCAGGCTCCATCTAAGAAAGTTAGTAAAGAGGAATTGGGGAATGTAGCCGGGATGGCTGCTACTTCTACAGCCAGTGGGGGGAAATTTGATAGGAAGTTACCAGGGGAAAAGCCTGCTAAAAAACAAGCAAAGCATCGCAAGGTTAGCACTCTTGGCCTTTGCTTCAATGTGGTAAATATTTCTCATAGATTATAATGGCTTGCTCCAATATCTTCTCTTCTACTTTTTTTTTTTTTTTCAGTTCTTACCAGTTGTTGAAGGATCCGGGATAGGCTTGCGAGAAAAGGAGCAAACAGACAGTGTTCTCAATAAGCTAATCTCTAAGCATTCCCATGAGATACTCAATGTTGACAAGGTAAGTTTGAGCCATGTAGTTGGGTTCATCTGGTGGTAAATTTAATGATCCTCTCAACCTTATGTTGTTTCTTTTTGGAATCAGGCTATTACCATGTATAATGTGAAGAAAGAGAAGAAAGCAAGGCATAGAAACAATGAAGAAGTGAAGTCCTCATCGGGCTCAAACATGTTGAAACCAAAAAGGCAACTTCACAAGAAGACTACAAAGAAAGGCCCAGGGTCTTCAAAGAAAGGGAAAACAAAATGAAATTACTAATTGGTAATCATTTTGGTAAGCTTGTAGAGGTTTGGGTTAGATACAATCACATTTTTGTTTACTGGAAACATGAGTTATATATGTACTAAATCTTCTATTTTGTAAGACAGATTTAAATTTTTGCAGTATTGATTCTGCTGGTCCTCCCTTTCTTTCTCCTCTTAGCCTCATAGCAAATGAAATAAGTCTCAATGCTAAGAAAAATATACAACTCACTTTAATATTTGGGTTAGCAGGACTTGTCAACGATGGTGATGCTGCAATTGCCTTTAACCGTGAGTTAACCAGGATTTTAAACCAGAATTTTGTGTCAGCAGTCCACATGTGGCTCAAAAGATGTCTGAGATCAGCTGCTTATTAGACCTTGAGGGTCCCCTCCGGCCTCTCAGGAAAAGCATCCATTTTATCTGAATCATGTGGCAAGAAATGTAGTATCTCTCGGTCTGAGATTCGTTGAAAAAAGAAATGGACAATTTCAAGATATATCCTCAATATATACGATTGGCACAAAGTTGCCAACGCAGATTTTGTTTTTTGTTCCAATCCACGTTCCATCTTTCATCTTTAGTTTTTTCTTTTGCTGCCAATCCATTTTCATTCCCTCTGTCCGTTTTTTTTTTTCATTTTTTCTTTTTGTGAAGTTTCAAAATTATATATTTTTAACGTCTAAAATTTTTATATTTTATATATATTTTATATATTTTGATATTAAAAATGGTAAATTTTTAATTTTATAAAAAAATTTAAGTTTTAATGTTAAATATATTAAAATCATTTTTTTTTAATTTTATAAAAATCAATAATATTCAAATAATTTGAGATGAAAAAAATACTAATAAAAATGTTTCACAGAACGGGAGACTCTGAATTCATTTCTCACGTTTGTCTGTTTGTTTTTTTGATAATTAATTCTCATGTTTGTTTCAATTTTAAGCATTTGGTCAAGTTTTGATACATTTTTATAAGAAGAATTATTAAATATACTAATAGAAAAAAAATTTATTTTACAAGCCGATAACATATATTTTTTTAATATATATTTAAAAAATAAAATATGTGTTATCCTATTCATTTACCATGCGGAGAGAGCATCAAATATTTCTTCCTTTTTATAATAGGGTTTTGTAAATTGATAAATTTTTTTTGGTCGAAAAATTCACCTTCATTGCAACTCGCAAAATTGTGACCTTTCTTTTCAGCGAAGGAACACCTTTTAAAGCAAAGAAAGATTAAGCCGACATCAGCACAACCACATCTCTTCCTCCTCTCTTTCGTCCAACTTTTTGGCTTTGGAGGGAGAGAGGAAGAAAGAACCTCCTTTTTTCTCCACTTCATCAAAACCATCTGTAATCCATAAACCTCGAAGATCTCAATAACCCTTTATTCTTTTTCCTATTCTTTCGTGTATTCCTCTAAATATTCTTTGTTTTTTAGCCAATTTATCCAACTCCCATCAGCTAGCATTTATTACAAACTTTTTTTGAGAATACCCATTTGCATGAAACCATTTCTTTACACAAATACAACTTTATATTACTAGTATTTTAGAAGGAGAAAGGCTATTACTTTCTTTGAAGCTAGAGACTAATGGCTGAACAGAGTTTACAAGTTGTTCAACATGGCAACGAAGATGTGGTTTTTTGTAGTTCTGGTATCAAAATTGAATGCTCTTTTCCTCGTAAGAGAGTTAGTTTGAAAGCGTATGGCTTTTTTGCTAGTGTTAATCAAGCTGGGATTGGATTTGCTATCTCACCAAACCCTCCAACTTCACTACAGAATGCTGCAAGGTTCCCTTGTGCTAGCCTACACACACAATTTGTTTCAGTCTCTGAACCTGGGTTTCAACTTGAGAAGGTTCCACAACTGTTGTTGGATGATGAACTTGAGATTGCCGAGAGGTTGGTCAAGGAGAAGAAGGAGAAGGGTGGCTTTAAGTTGAGAATTAAAATTGGGAATGAGTCATTAAGGAGGTTGATGAGTGGGGCAGTTGCAGGTGCGGTATCTAGGACTGCTGTGGCTCCATTGGAGACCTTAAAAACGCATTTGATGGTGGGGAGTTGTGGGGATTCTATGAGTGAAGTGTTTGATAACATTATGAGGAGTGAGGGATGGAAAGGCTTGTTTAGGGGCAATTTGGTGAATGTCATTCGGGTTGCGCCAAGTAAGGCTATTGAGGTGTGAATGTCATTCATTTCTTATGGTTAGAATTTGTTATTTTCATGATGTTTTTCGATTTTAGTAATTGCTTAAATATTGAATTGTTTGCACTGTTATTGTTTTCATATTTTGGTTCTCTTTCTCATATGCTTCCTTTATTTACTGGTCCTTCTTTTTTTTGTGTGTATTTTGACCTTGGAAGGATTGATTTTCATGCTGGATATTTGGTTTAATTTTCTTTATTTTGTTTTTGTGTCTCGAGACTTGGTTTCTAGGTCCATCAACCTCGAGATTATTAACTAGACTAGATACCGTACAGAAATGTGTTCACGCTTGAAATATTATGGCTGTCTCTTTGATTGCGAAGAGGAGCAACCCTGTTTATCTACTGTTTTCTGTTGGAGTCCTAAATGCCATGCAAATCAATGTTGTTTTGATACTTGATTCTAGGATTGCCTGCTAATTTAGGTCGGTAGTATACAAGAGTAACAAACATAGAGATGAAAAGAAAAAAACCCCTACAAGTAAATGAAACCTTAGAATGATCCTTATCTTTCAAAACATTTGTCCCTCTTCTTCTTCGTGCCTTTATTGGTTGCCATATCTGGTTCCATAAGGCTCCCGTTAATGGTCGTCTATGTTCAAGATCAATGTCGGGCTTTCTTCTCCCCTTTCCTTTCATTTGCTTGCATTTCCTCTTTGGCAAGTCATTTGATTAGCAGAATGTGCATTGACGCATTTGCGTCTAGCGGCCTTCTTCCATTTGTGTTGTTACTTGTTGGCTCCTTTATGTCGTTGCCTGTGTCTGTACATATCTAATGGACTGGTCTAAATACTCTAGGTGTTTTTCACAAACTATCTCGCACCCAACTGATTTGGACTTTATCCTAAAATTATGCTATAATTTGTGTATTTTATTAGCACTAAACGCTTATCCTGTTGCGGATCCTTTGTGCAGTTATTTGCATATGAGACTGCTAAGAAACAGTTGACAACTGAATTTGGGGAACAGCCCAAACTCCCTCTTCCGGCCTCATTTATTGCTGGTGCTGTTGCTGGAGTTAGCTCTACCTTGTGCACATACCCTCTGGAGATGCTCAAAACTCGTTTAACTGTCAATGTGAGCATGAACTTTGGGAAGGACTAATGAACTAATTAACATTTCTAATTCTTCATTGAAATTATCTTTTATCCCTTATAGCTTTGCTCTGATTGCAGGAAGATTACAAGAATCTTTTGGACGCGATCGTAAAAATTGTGCGAGCAGAAGGAGCAGCAGGACTTTACGAAGGCCTTACTCCGAGTCTGATAGGAGTGGTTCCTTATGCTGCCTCTAATTATTTTGCTTATGATACGTTAAGAAAAGCTTATAAACAAGCTTTTAAGGAGGAGGAAATAGGAAATATCATGACTCTTCTAATAGGATCAGCAGCTGGTGCAATCTCTAGTACTGCAACTTTCCCACTTGAGGTGGCTCGGAAGCAGATGCAGGCTGGGGCAATTAATGGAAGACAATACCATAACATGCTTCATGCTTTAACAAGTATGCTTGAGAAAGAAGGAATCTCAGGCATTTATAGAGGCTTGGGTCCAAGCTGCATGAAATTGGTCCCTGCAGCTGGGATTTCATTCATGTGCTATGAGGCGTGCAAGAGCATACTAACAGAGAAAGAAGAAGCTCTATAACTATGATATCCTTGAAAGTAGAAATTGCGATAACTTAACCAAAGAACACATACATTTACTTTCATGGGAATAATGGCCATGGGGTTGAAGAGAGAAAAGTGAAGCACTATAATGATGGAGTAGTTTGCATTGTTTTTTATCATTTAGATTTTTGCATTTTAGGAGAATTTCCTGCACATAAAATGGTTCTACTTTAGAACTTGGTGGGCTGCCAATGCCATAGTTGAGTGGATCGTCTCTCACTTTTGTAGCGTTTGCTAGACAAGCCTTCTTTTAGAAAAAGGAAAAGGTTCTAGAAACCGTCAGCTTCAATTTAACTGCACACTATGTTTGTTAAAGAGCCCGAATATCTTACATGAAAAGTTGAATAAAGCGTTTCTCCCTGTATAATTTTCTCAAGTTCACAACTCTTAGGTTACGGTGAATCAACAACATTCAGGAGGGAACGGAAAAAAGTTGATTGCATAAAACAAATTTCTTAAAGAAAAAGTTGATCTTCTATCTCAATCCATTAGATTGGGTGGAGTATTACAAACATTTTTAAAGGTACAGTACATGCAACGAAAGGACCAATTCAAATTGCAGGGTTAGCAGTCAAATGTCTTCCTAACTGGTTTAAAAAACAGGAAAACATTCTGCAGACCACATCTTAATCAAACATACCTAAAGTGATTAACAACATGTAAAGAAGGTTAAATCATAATTGTTTTTAATTAACAAAGGCATAGTTCACAATGATACCAACACCGCATCAACATATTTGGGAAAATAGAAGCCAAAAAAATCAGTTAACAAAATTGAATATTGAAAGGAAAACCTTTTTTTTTAATTACCATCCTATAGCAAGACCAAGATAACTCAAACACCTACAATGTGTAAGAAACCTAATTGCCTTAACCATACCATAGCATTAAGAACTGACCACTTGAAAGTAAAAAACTTCTTCAGCTCTGCTCTTCTCCATCTATAGCATCTCTTTCTTCAGCAGAAGCTGCCATTAATTCATCAAAGTTTTCTGTCTTCCCCAGTAATACCTCAATCTGAGAAAAAAAAAACATAAAAGCATATCTATCACTACCCAAGCTAAGAGGAAGGATAAAAATCAATATTACAGCGACTATAACATTATGGATAAATAAGCACCAATAATGGGGAGTGTTTAATAAACAAAAATTTAATATAAAATTTCCCTAGGTCACTTTTAAAATTTAACTTTATCTGGAAAGAACAAATGCATCTCAGCTTGCAAATATGTTTTTACATAAACCATGGCATATCCAAAAGGAAGCACAAATAGCTATTAAGGTGATTTACCTTTGCTTTTTGGACAGGCCGCCCTCTAGAGTCCTCCTTCATGTCAACTGTTGAAGTTGTGATCTCTGTAGAGGTGCAGGTTGATTCCAATGATTATCAGGACTCAATGGTTACATAACCACATATTTTAAATAAATTAAAAGATAAAAAAAGTGGAAGACATCTTACTCTTCTCAACAGCCAAACCATTGTTTTTCAGAATTTCTGCAATTGTGACAACCGTTGCAATAGCTGCATATATGACATGATAAATGAAAAGAATGATTTGCAGCAATTCTCAAAAAGCAGCATACATAATTAATTTAGGTTCCATATATGAATAATTAGGTCCAGAAATAAACTACAAGCAGCAGGAGCAGCAACAGAAAAATTAAGTCACAAACACTTTGCACTTGAGAAAGACAAAGTTGAGAAAAGCTTTACAGCATCTTCACAGCACATAAACAGGTGTAAAACAAACAACCTATCGATAATTCCTGAGCCAAATTAAGTGGAAGAGTGACTAGAATAGCTGAGAATAACTAAACGAGAACTCATACATATGCATCAAAATAATGTTGTGATGATAAGGCGAAATTAAACAATAACTCATATCTGAGAATAATTTATTAATATTCAGATCTGACAAAAAGGTGAAATGATATTGAAGTAATAAAAAAAGAGAACTGAAGAAGAAAAGAATACCCATGCCAAGGCCAGACAGCTCCACCTCATTGTGCTGTTGCATATATCTCTGCAAATAAAACAGAGAAAAAAAAATCCGAAATCAATGTAATGTAATGCAATGCATTAATAAAGAATTTAAATCCCCAGTTGCAGCGAACAAACGGCTAAAACGTTAGATTCCCTAATAGTTAAAATAAATACCCAGAAAAACCCTAAAACCCACCAAAATTCAAATTTAACGGTGGTATTTAAAGCCAGCACCTTATTTGGAAGCAAAGGAATACAAAATTGAATAAAGGGAAAAAACAGAAAGAATTGGAGAAGTGAAGAGGAGAAAAGGAGAAACCTTGGCCAGATTAACGTAAAAAAACAAGGGCTTTTTGGTATTGGAAACTTGAATCCGGTTCTTCTTTTGGGAATCGGCGCCCAAGTTGATGTTGTTAACACTTTGGGTGATTTCTTCCATTTTGAAACTTTTGCTACTCAAACTCAAACCCAAACCCAAGCCCTAACCCGCAAAATACTCTTATCTCTGAGAATTGAAAGGAAATGTATAGAGGGGTAGTCAAGTGAAACAAATAAATTGCAAATTTTGTGAGCTCTACTTTAAATTTGGTTGAATTTGGGGGTGGTGGTGGTTACTTACCGGCTAGGTTTTCGGATTCGGCTCATCTCCATTTTACTATCAAATGGAGAGAGACTGTTAACGGAAAGATTAAAGGACACATCATCAATAAATAGATCTAAGGACGAAATTATGCCACGTTATTATGAAACTTCAGAATCACATAGGACAATTTTATCCTACGAAGAGTTACTTTTGCCATTTTTTCATAAAAGAATTCATTACCAGCGGACAGATAGCATCCAATTATTTTCCATTCTCTCAACTCAGATAATCACCGAAACCAAAGGTTTAGAAGCATCCTCCATTCCTCCCCAACTTCGTTTTCATTAAAAAAATGAAATTTCGTTTTAAAACTCACGTTTCAGTCAATTTGTCTCAACTCAATTTTTAAATTAAAATTTAGCAATCTCAACGATTCATTTTTTCATTTACGTAAAAGAAGCCAATTTGCATAGCAAAAGCGTCAAAATTTTAGTGAAAAATGGCGTAATTTGCATTGAAAGTTGGCAATATCATTAAGCGATTCTTCGTGCCCATTAAATACCTTTTCCGTTTTGATTGTGGTGGCTAACAAGTTTTTTTGAATCAATAATTTCTTTTTAAATAAAAAATAATTTTTCATTTAAAATGTTGCTGTTGATTAAGTTTCAACGATCAAAATATTTTTTCGTTCTTATATTTAGAAGGCCTTTATCTTCCGCCTTTCTTCTTACTATTTCAATTTTCATTCTTTCAAGTTTAAGTTTTTCTTTTTTGGATTCGTTATCGGCCTTAGAGCTTGGAATGTAGATTATTGTCCATGAGATTGAGATTGGAGCAAATAATGAGGCGATTCAAATTCCAAGATTGGGCATGGAAATTAAGTTGGGAAATTAGGGTTCTGAATTTAACTAGAGGGAAACTTAATTCCTTTGAGGCATTGAAATTTTTCTCGGCTGGTGCTCAATCCAAACAAAGAAAAATATTTTGGAGAATTGGTTAGCGGAAGACAAATTAGAATGAGTGAAGAACAAGGAGATCTTCTGAAGAGTTGATTTCTACCATTTTTATGAATTTTATTTTAATTTTTTTACTTTCACAATTTGTGCCTAATTTGAATTTTTTTTTCTAATGGTAAACTGTTTTCTTTTTATTAGAAATGACAATGAAATTTATATGCGGTGAATTTTGATCCGATTTGATTTTATAAAATTATTTTTAAAAAATTTAATTTCGAGTCAAATTAGAATGAGTGAAGAACGATGAGATCTTCTGAAGAGTTGATTTCTACCACTTTTATGAATTTTATTTTAATTTTTTTACTTTCACAATTTGTGCCTAATTTGAATTTTTTTTTCTAATGGTAAACTGTTTTCTTTTTATTAGAAATGACAACGAAATTTATATGCGATAAATTTTTATCTGATTTGATTTTATAAAATTATTTTTTAAAAAATTTAATTTCGAGTCGGATAATAATAATAAGTGTCAAAATTAAATTTTAGATAAAATTATTTTGATCCAACCTAATATATAAATATAATTTTTTAATTAATTATTTAATTATATATATTTATATTTATTTAATTTTATATTTACATTAAAAAATAATATTTATATTTAAATTTAATATTTTATTAATTTTGAATTAAGTTGAATATAATTTTATACAAAATCTAATTAGATCAAATTTTAATATAAAAAATAAAAAACATTTTTATCTGATCATATCGAGTTTAAGGCAAGCAAAACTTGTTACCCATTACCATCCCTACTTGTTATTATGGATAATGATCTTGCATAAAAGCATATATTCGAGTTGTTGCAGTTTTGTAGAAAATAAGGAGTTTGAAAAAAATCTTGATTTAATTAAAGTAGGAGATTGCAACAGTTTTTATTTATTTATTTATTTATTTGTATTGGCATTTTCTATGTTATTAATGTTAAAGTATTCTTAAATTTTCTCTCATTTTACCTACAGAAGAGAGTAGAAAGTTCGGGAAAAGAAAAAAAAAAACAAAAGTTATGTTAAAGCCTTCTTGAATTTTCCTCCACTTTACCTTAATTGCTTTATATGTAAGTCATTGACTGATGTAATCAAAGAAAGTGGAGGAAATTACAATGCATCCACCATTTTCCTCTTTCACTTTCGTATCCAAATTAATTCTGTTTCTTTGGAAAATTCAATATATATTGCCTTCATTAGTTACTTTTCACGATTCAAATCCAATCTCTGACCCAATCATGTCTTAAACTAAGTGCACCCGAAATGCTTCTGCGGTTAATTTTTAATTATAAGATAGAAGATTAGATGTTACAACTTAATCTAAAAAATCTTAATTCTGTCTTACCTCAAAGAATAAAATAGACTAGGAGCTTACTTCTTACGGACCAAATGAGGACAGGACATTACCCTAGCAAAAAGACAAACGATTTTTGGTAGTGGAACATACCAAACCAATGCAATGTGTCAAAGTGCAAAATAACTTTGAAAAAGGCTGTTTTCTATAGGCATATATGACAGATCAGGCCACTTTAATTCAGTGGATGTAATATTGATAACTAATATGCAAATGAAACCAAACTCCATATTTACTTTCTTTCGTCTGTCTACTCTAAAAGCGGACTAAACCCCCGTCAATTAGTTGGCTATATAATTGTTATTGGATATTTACTGTGGATGAAGGGTTGAGGAAGGCAGCTCGAATGGGAAATATTGATGCCTTGTAAATCCTATCATATTTGGGGAAATTATTTTCTCCTCTGGATCAGCATATCAAAGTTTCATGGTTAAATGGCATCCTCCGTTAGTTACATGCCTAACAGTGTCGTCCTTATACAAACAATTCATTGTAGAAATTTACAGGTTAGTTTATTCTTCTGATGAGTTGTGAAAGTTTGTGGAATCATAGGTGCAACCAATAAATATAGTTAAAAAATGTTAAATCTTTTCATTAAAGCCTTTTAAGTCAATCTTATAAATATTCTTATTAAATAAAAAGATAAATTACATAAGTATATTATATGGTTAAATGTGATTTAAGTTTGTTTCTTGAGATTTAAAAAGTGACACTTAACCATTCTAAGATGTGTATTCATGTCATTCCGTTATTTTTAATTAATGTTGTTAATACTTAATCATATAAACTCTAGTTTTTTTCTCAAATATTTTTTTTGTTTGCTATTTCTTAGATTCAAACTTTTCAAAAAAACCTTAGTATGGAAGCATGAATTTTTCACAATTTTCAGTAAGTGGGGATCATCTAAAATGAGGAACAATGGAAATGACTTTCTTTTATCTCTTTTTTAAAGTAAATGCAACAATAATTATCATCATCATCAACAACAAAAAGAATCTTAATACAAGCACATACTCATATGTCAAAATCTTGAATTTTTATTTGTAAATGAAAAAAAAAATTTTGAATTTTTTTGTTGATTTGTGAGGTTTTTTTTATCTAAGTCGATTGCGAAATCGAGAAATAATAAGGTAAAATCATCATCTAAGTTGATGTTCCTCAATCAATAATCATCATCATCAAAACAACAAAAACCCCAACGAATACAAATATCCATTTTGTCAAAATCTTGAATTTTCTTTGTAAATGAAGAAAAAAAGAAAAAATTTTGAATTTAAAAGAAAAAAGTTGAAATTTTCTTATTGATTTTTGAGTTTTTTTTATTTGGGTTGATGGTGGAATTGGGAAATAACAAAGAGAAATCATCATCTGAATTGATATTCTTCTATCAATAAACATCATCATCATCAATAACAAGAAACCCAACAAAAACACATACTCATTTGTCTAAATCTTGAATTTTTCATTGTAAAAGAAGAAAAAATATTTAAATTTTTTTTGTTGATTTGTGACTTTTCTGATCTAGGTCATTGGTGGAATCAAAAAATAATAAGGGGAAGTCATCATCTAAGTTGATGTTCTTCAATCAATCATTTACAATGCATGCAATTGCAGTATAATCCAATTCCCCCAAAGTTCATCTTCTTCTCGACAATCTATCTTCTTTTAATAGAGTAGCTTCCATTTCAAAAATTTATAATTCAATTAATTTCATCAAAAGTAAGGGTATTTTTGTTATTTATAACAAACGGCATCCAAAATGACTAACAAAATCATATGAATACACATCTCAAGGTGATTAAGTGTAACTTTTTAAATATCAAAAGTAAACTTAAATCGCTTTTAATCATAAGGTATATTTATATAATTTACTCTAAATAAAATCTCTTTTAGCATGTTCAAAGTTCCAACTAGTAGATGTTAGTATTTTGGATATTTTTTACGGTATAGGATTTTTTTAGTTAAAATGGATAAATAAATTTTTGTGGAAAATTAGTTATCATTTAATGTTTTGCTCATTCAGAGCTATTAATTTGCATTGATGATGTCTTAAATGGAAAGGGGGTTATCTAAGTGAGTATAATACCATTTTACATATTTTCTTCATGTTTAGTTATGTCATTGGTTGTAAAAGTAGTGGGATATACACTGAACAAATGTAAATTATTTAGTTTTTTTTTTTTTCAAAGGAATTTATCCAGGAGGCTACGGCATTGCTATATGCTTTAAAACCAAAATTTCCAGAGCATGATTTTCCACAAACAAAGGTTATTTATCATTCAGTAACTAGTTAAGCTATCAATTTTTTTATTTTTTATTTTAAAATTTACTCACTTAGTGCATTACATTCTTTCCTATACGGGTCTTGGAAATCGGTCCAGTTACTTTTCTGGATCTGGCTGATGTCATTTTGGCAAACAGAAATTTCAGCCTTTTTGGATCAAGCTCAAATTGCTTGAGTAAATTGAGAAGCATTTGCATTGTTGAAGAAAGACAACCTTGACAAAGATATAATGGAAATCTCCAGTGGCTGGTGACCATGAACTTGCCAGCAAGTCGCTTGTTTGCTTTATTGAAAAGGTAATCACTCATTCCAAATATGTAGAAAAGTTATATGCTGATTGATAATGGTTTATAATATGGAAATTTTCTCGCCCGGTGATCAATCTAAACAATGAAGAATCTTTTGTAGAATTGATTGGCAGGCAAATGGGAATGTGTGAGCAACTTAAAAACCTTCTGAAGATTTGATTTCCACCACCTTAATGAATTTTATCTAATTTTTATTTTTTACTTTTTCTAATAGTAAACTGTGTTCAGTTTGTAGAATATGGACAATGATC